CATTACACATTATCGCTCGTTATATTACGTTTACCTAGTTAAGAAAAAAAACATCATAATCATCGACCTTAACTCCAAAATACACAAAATCAGATACTCTAACACACATTTTTTTTCTCACTCTCTCGCCGCTTCTCGTTATCTATTCGTGTCATATGTCGAGCCGAGCGCGAGCGAGCGCCATCGTTATACAAACACACAATCGCGACAATTATCGGCGCAAAAAAAAAATAAAAAATTGCAGAAGCCACATACGAGATAACAAAAAAAAAGGAAAAAAAAGCAAAATCAGAAGTGTACGCGAGCGCATAACCGAGAAATTCCCAAGTTACGCAAAGTGAAAAGTCTCTCTGTAGCTTCGTTTTGTCTCTAGTTTTTTTCATTAAAAGAGCCTCCCCGATAATTAGCTGCTCTCGTCGTCGTCGTCGTCGGCGGCTTTCTATATACCGCGCACGTGCGTGTATTATTACTTTTACTTGGCACCTTCCTTTTTTTCCTTTTTTTTGCTTCACACATAAACGGAGCAGCTCGCGAATCTCTGCTTGTATATCAATGCCGTGTATATATAGCGCGAGAAACAATTGGCCTCCACATATCGCTGCTGCTGCTGTGGGACTCGAAATCGCAGCGCGTGGAAGTACACGTATAAATATATCGCGCTGCGAGCTCGTAAGAGTTTCTAGAAGGTATATGCCAGAAATGTATGCTCGCGATACGCGCGATATCGGCAGTTTACTTTTTCCGATGTCCGACACGGACGAAATTAGCTCTCGATAAAGAGACGTTTGAATATCGTTCGATTGGTAGGCCACGCATACACGCGAGAAAGAAGATTATTCAATCGTTAGAGACGACGACGACGAGGATGACTGCAATAATGCAAAAAACAAACGCGGCAACGATTGCGTCGCGAGCTTTTTTAAATGCCCCAAGAACGCGCGCGTGCGTGTGTATACACCCACGCGTCGCAGGGAGTTCATTCACTCCCGCGTATACGTGCTATATTGTGAATGACACAAAAAAGTTTCGACATTTAAAAACCCGCGGCATCGTAAATATTGTACGTGTATAAGTAGGATCGTTTTGATATTATACATTGAGTCACTCGAGAGAGAGAGAGAGAGAGAGAGAGAGAAAAATGAAGAAGAAGAGGTTCGCGTTTAATACACTTTATTATATACATTATTATATTATACACACACACACGATAGTGTAAGCCCGCGTGACATGTCGTCGTCGTCGTCGTTTTCGCTCGCTCATACGCGCGTCCATGGGAAATAATTACGAAAAGGAGAACCCGTTTGACGAATGCTGCGGCTATATAAATTTATTATAAAAGCGCGAGAGAGCAAGTAAGAGAGGTCGTTGGTCATTTCTTCGTTGAAAGTATTTCCTCTCTCTCTCGTGTACCATGTATGTGTGTTTAAAAAGCTCGAAAAGTGACTTTCTCTGCTCGAGCTGCTCCGGAGAAGCTGTCAAGAATTCTTGTCTTCTTTCGCTGCTGCTGCTGCCTTTTTTTTGCGCTCGACGCACGTTTTAGGAACCGCGTCGCGTTGCGTAAGTTGATAAATAAATAAATAAATAAAAATGCGGATAATTTATGTGTATACATAGGAGAAAAGTTGCGCTGTTGTGTGGTAAAAGATGCGAGCGCGAATAATAAAAAAAAAACGGCTATATATGTACTCTTTTACGCGCGCGCGTCGCGGGTCGTAATTCATCATCGTAAGCGATTTCATATACAATATTGTAAAAACTGCTCTCGTCCGTGTGTTTAATGCTATTTCCAAGAATGGATGCTCTCAGATATTATGCTAATTTCGTATGTGTATACAGCGACGATTAAAATGACGAGTGACAAAAAAAAGTGATACGAAGGTATGCGTTTATCGTATAGAGTATTATTATTACCGAGTCCGAGAGGTGACCGAAAAAAAATAATAGACGAGACCCCTTAATACTTAATTTCTTTCGATCTTTCACAAGTAGCGAATAGAAAATTTTCTTTCTTTATATATTCGAGCCAAGGCAACGACGACGACGTTTTTTATAATACAACGGCACAATTTGAATAATAAATATAGTCGTCGTCGTCGTGCATATCGAAGAAAACGATAACACGTATATTTCTCATGTGTATTATTACACACATACACACACGTACGTACTATCATACACACATGTATGCAGACCGGCATTAATAAGAAAAAATAATCTTATCTCTTATAAATATTCAAATCCTCTCTCGTTCTCTCACCTTCTCTCGACACGATCGCCGAGAAGCTACTTTTAATATAAAAAAAAACATATCAGCCTACTGCATGCAAATATAATAACACGTCGAATGGAAAAAAAGAAAAAGAAGAAGGAAAAATCACGTAATTCTAAAACTGCATCTGCTGCTGCTGCTGCTGCTGATGTCGCGCATACACTTTGCGAGTACAGGTAGTGTATAGTAGTCATATGTACAACGAGTATTAGGTAACGATCGGTGTGTGTTTTTTTTCTTCTGTTTTTGAGAAAAAAAAATATAACACGGCAGCAACCGCAGCAGCAGCAACAGCAGTAGGAGAAGAAACAGCAACGTCATTCGAGCACGTGACACGGCGCTAATTGCCCGCCACCGACGCCGTTGACTCTGATACGATGTATATAGTACTATAATATAACGATTGTAAAAAAAATAAAAATGAAAATAAAAGAGCAGTAAATATAATTTGCTCGAGCATTTATTAATTTTTTTTCCATTATTGTGTCCGTATATATGTAAGTTATTACACGCCAAGTTACGCGCGCCGCTTAGAGGACGTTATGGATTTCCTTCTTTTTTTTTCATTCGTTCGATCGTAATTTGCAACTGGATTAATCGCTGCGCGTTGCTACTGGTTTTGCGTCGTCGTTGTTGCATTGTGCAACGCATGCATATGTGTGTGTGTGTGTGTTGCTATATATATAGGGTGCAGCCGCACACGGATTTTCATTTCCGCTCGCCCGAAAAAAAAACCCGCTTCGCGTATGTATACGTATATTATAAAAGCGAGAAATCGAAAACCCTCGTCGAATTTCTCGAGTGAGATAGAGAGAGAGAGAGAAACACGCCTCTGTCTCTTCGCGATGTATTGTAGCGATGAGAATCGTCGTTCTCACACACAACACACAAGGCGCAAGGATAGAGAAAGAAGAATAAGAAGAGAGAAAAAAAATTGTCGCAAAGGAAAAAGGGAAAAGAATACGTATATAATGTATGAGATGCTCACCCTGACAAATCTCGGCTTGTAACCGTCATCGTCGATGTCCCCGGCGACGATCGGTACGTTCATTATTATTTCTCGATTATTCGCTGCTGCTGCTGCTGCCGCTGCTTTTCTTGCGGCCACGAGCACATATATGCACACGCGACGAAAACAAAAAAAAACTGACGCACACCACTGCAACACACCACTGTATGGGCACCGAAAAGAAAAAAGGATTTTCCTTTTATCCGCTGTCACGAGCACTCGCCGAAACAACAACAACAACAACAACAACACGGTGCAATATACTGTACATTACCAGAAGTGGTGTACATGTATTATGCTATCTCTCTTTCTCTCCGGATTATATATATTATATATATAATACGTGGTACAATGCACCCACGTATGTATAATGCATCTAGATGTATGTATTCGCGTGTGTGTGTGATCTTGGGTAGAGCTGCACAAAACAGAGACACACAGCACTCGCGGGGCACTGTAACACACACAGACACACACTCGCGACACTTTCACGTATATGCACTTTGGTCGTACGCGTGCGTGTGTGTATGCGCCGAATTCGGCCGATTCTCTCTCGCCGATCGCGCACCAAATTATTATTCCACTCTCTGATCTCGAACAAAAAAATATAAATTCGAGATTTACACGGGCTACGATCGAATCGTCGCCTTACTATCGGATGCACTTTATAAATTATGTACAGCACGCGGCGCGATTATATTATATATATGATTATTATATATGTACAGAAACTCGACGTCGTCGGTCAAGGCGCACGCCGTCGTGCTCCGCGCGTCTGGTCTCTTATACTGACTCTGCACCGCGTTGTGTTGTATATCTCGCTGCTGTTGCGTGTCCGCTAAGCGCAGACACCAACTCTATACTACATGTGCCACAGACAGCAGCAGCTTATAATGTATAATGCCGTGTACATATATATATATATATGGCTCGCGGCTCGGCGCAATGGGCCGTGAAGGTGTGTAGACTCCGAACTCGTATACACATGCAGTCCTCTCCTCGCGCACGTATTATACCTGTAGATGTGTGAGTGGTATACAACATTCGCGAATCGCTCGAGGAGGCGCGCGGCGCGGATGGATGGATGGAGAGCAGCCACGCCATCTACCTGCGCGACGTTCACTCGTGTGTATATATCTTTTTCGCGTTATTGTGTCGAGTGTGTGTGTATACAAAAGACAGCAACTGTCTTGATATCCCCCTCTCGCGGCCGCGTGGCTTCCTTCTCGTATATACACTCGTAAGTCGTATACGCTGGCGAATTGACCGATGGAAATGAATGTTTATTTATCATCGATACATAGTACAAATTACTGGTACTGAAATATTTATTTGCCCCTTGGACAAAAAACAAATGCAAAAACTAAGATTATTAGCGACGGTTCATGCCCTCGAATGATTGATACGTGCTGTGCACTTGTCGACGCTTACATTTACGTGTGGTATAAACCCACGAGTTCGTTTTTATTTTTATTCATTAATAAACTCCTGCTCGAAGTTTAATTATTACCATAGAAATTAGAAGTTATGGAGCAGCGCGCGCAGATCCAAGAGAGGGGCCTTCTCTTTTCGAGTGAGAGATACCCGTACCTCATAATACCATGATAATACATGATATTCCCCGTCGCCTATTTCTCCTCTCCCTTCGTCGATTTTCCTCCCCTCGATTCGTAGCTCGTTTCTATGAATTTTCCGGGCCCGGCTACGCGCCGGCTGGATCGTCGCTGATCGGCCTGTTCCAACTCGATCGGCCGTCCAATCGGTCACCATAATTCTTTTCCCAATTTGACGAGTCTATATACATAGACGATAAGAAAAATGGACTTAACTGCTGTATTAGTACAAGTGAAGAGTGTAAACGAAAAGAAAAAAAATGTAGAAGAAAAGAAAGTAAGTATATGATCGATCGAAGAAAATAATAAAATATTAAATAAACATCGAACGACAATTATACGATGTTACAGGACAATACGGAGGAGAAAAACGAAGAGGCAGAGCAGCGGTCACCCTTGGTATCAGCAGCACCATCGGCAATACCAGCCGCCGACGGTAGATGCCCATTGCCTCCGATCCCCGAGGTGGACGACGAGCGAGAGCCCGACTCGCCCGCGGGCAGCTCCCAAAGCCTGGGGTACGTGGCCGTACCCGTAATACAACCGAACGAGACTGAAGCAGGCGCCGCAGTAGCTGCTCCTCATGGCGCGGCGCCTGTGACTACAACAACCAACAACAACGGCCGCAACAACGGCGGCCGCCGCATCGTCCGCGTGAACACGCGAACGCGCAACAATCTCGTCGCCAGCAGGCGGCTTCTGATCCAGTGCTTGACGCAAGATGTCAAGGGCAGGGAGCAAGAGATCAAGATGGAGAGGGAGCAATTAGAGACGAAAAAGAAGATCAGGGAGAGCCCGAGATGGGTTGGGCGCGTCGTCGGCTTCTGCGTGCTCGTCGTCCTCTGCGTTCTCGTAGTGAGCGCCCTCGTCAAGCTGATCCTCTACTACAACACCAGTTAGTGGCTGAAAAAAAAAAAGCGGAACCGGTGATAGCGTGTATATATATGTGCTTTGCGACTCTTTGACCATAGACACACGTACGAGACTCATAGACGTGATTATTTGTATCTACTACGACGTTCATACTTGTTTTTGTTTTGTATCATATGTAAAATTTATATCATCACCGACCGAAAAACCGACACGACCGATTGTATACACACAGACGCAGCAGCACACGAGCGTGCGTATGTGTAACGAATGACTGTTTTTTTTTGTAAATAATACAAATTGTATAAATATATGTATATATTGTATCACTGTTTTTGTCGGACGCAAAACATCAATAAATAGCCACATGTCTTCTTTAAAAAAAAAACGATCTCGTGTACGAATTATTTGAATAAGTAAAATCCAGTCATTGATGTGACGCACAGTCGTAACGATCTCCGATTGTCAGGCAGCTAATTGAAGGTAAATAATAACACGAAAGGCAGAGAGAGATAGAGAGGATCAGCTGTGAGCTGGTAAGTATATCTGTATATCCCATACACCAGACGACGTTTGTAATGTATAATAGTCGTTCTGCTTGGGCAGCGGCGCACGTGTGTTGCGTTGCTGCGGTGTACACAATATCATTCCAGAAAAAAGGCAGTGTGCCCGATACGCGCCTGAACGCCGAGCAATCCTGCGTACAGCCGAGCGGGCCGAGTTGCGCGGTATACGATCTCGAGCAGCAGGTCTGTGGCGCGCTCAAGAGCTCATAACTCAATTATAATTTTTGAGTTAAAGCTTTTCAATCGATGAGAACATTTAAAAACGATGCAATTCATCCCTCGCCGATGAACGAAATATTTCGTTTAGTGAGTAAAGCTTCCCAACTCTATGTACAATCATTAATGTTTGCAGTTCAATCTTCATGAAAAAAGCAGTTATAAATGTTTGTAGCTGCATTACTTTTTAACAGTTTTACGACAACGCAAGCTCGCAATAAAAATTTGCTATCGACGACTTGTTGCTTTTTATAAAATCAAATCGAATAGTCATAATTTATTAAAAGAACTGCTTTGTAAATTTTCCCCGTGCTTTTGTCATCATACTTTTTTGCAAGTAAAATTGAAACTAAAAAAATAATAATAAAAGTTCAAGATATCTATTGAAACGAATAGTTCACAATTTTATTTTGTTTTTTTTTTGTCGATATGAATAAAACGGCGATAAAGGTGGTACCAAAGTCAAGTTTTATTAAAAAAGTAGGCGGTGGGCGAGTGTGTACAATCACTCACTTCTCGTCACCTAGTCGACGTTTCGCCGACCACTTTGTTGGCCTCTTCGGGACTCAGGACAATCTGGAGTCCATCGCGAAGCTGACGCACCGCCGACTGCCGATTCTTTGCTGCGAAATGATCGTCGATAATTTAACGAGCCAAGATCTGTTGAACATTTTCTTGGCGGCCTTTGATCACAGCTCGTGATCGTGAATTTTCTTTAAAAATATTCGTATTACGATACGTGTGTCGTTGAAGTGCAATCCAGAAAGGGTTTTACAATGTTTATTTTAAAATACAAACTCACTTGTAGGCATAAACTAATAAGTCGATGTTAAAGTATTGCCAGTATAATTAATGCCGGTAGATTTTGAAATCACTCAAATCCACCTCATTGGACACTTTTATGTTAATGTTTTTTCGATTCTATGTAATTATTATTGAACTTCTGCATTAATCGTGTAAAAAGTCGACTGACGTATTGTATAAAGTATTTTTGTTTATGAAATAAATTTAATTTTCAACAATCATCATACTTAGCCTCTGCATCAAATTACTATGAAAATTTAATCTACAAATATTGAACACATCCTGTTTAGTAATGAGAGGCTTCAAAATGATGGCTTTCCAATTGATTTTTAATGATACGATGATTGATTATGTCAGGTGTCTCGAATGTCAATGAGACCAATGTACTCGCTTCAGAGAGAAGAGATCATTGCACTAGATCGTATCTATGGTAAGCGCTGTTCATTATGTCATCGATCTTGTGATAATTTGAATAATAATGCATCATCATTATTGATGCAAAGGTTAATTACATTTTCTAATGATTTGAATTGTTTGCATTTGTCAAATGTATACAATTTCATAGTGGATCACTTAAAGCAATTAAAAAGTTATCTGTAAAGATGTGACATTAAATAAGAGTTTATTTTTAAAAAGAATACGAGTTCATAGATTTCAAACTTAAAATTTTATAAAATCTTTGAATTATTGCGGCTCAGCTTTTAAAATTTTTAGAGACTTCTAGCTGCGACAAATGAGAGGTCTTTAGTAACGCCACACGTGTTTTGATACCGATTAAACGTGAAAAATGTCGAGGAACTTCGATTCCGAAGTAATTTTAGGCATTATTTTACACTACTAAATATAAACGCTTATAACTTTGCTTCTGTATCACTTAAAAATAATTACAAAAATAAAGAAAATTCACTTTCCGATGGTGTATCCATCAACGCAGAGAAAATAAAATATACATCTTTTTATCGTCAATTCTTTCGACTTCGTAAAAACAAAAAAGGGATATATTCCATAGACCAGCGAAAATAAAAACACTTTTTATTTCGGACCGTCGTAACATCTATAGAACTCAAATTTATATTTTATCTGAAGAATAAATTGAACTCGTGGCGTTTATAACTACATGCGGTGTAGGCGAGGTATCAACCGTACATACGAAACTAGTACACGGGGCATTTCTGTACACAAGTAAAATGTGTCCAATCTTTGTACACATAATCAAACTTTTTTTTTAAATTTAAAAAATGTTTAAAAATAATCGTAATCGTAAATTTGTGAATTTAAAAAAAGTTCGATTATGTGTACTAATATGGGACACATTTTATTTGTGTACAGAAATGCCCGTGTACTAGTTTCATGTGTACGAATGATATCTTGCCACGGTGTACTTTCTATTTTCTATACTACATAATCCCGCCCCCATCACAGATCTTTTCGGCAGATGGCAAGGCTCGCACACGCAGGCGAGTCAAGGCTCAGTGCGACGCCGCCGTGTGATGAACGTTAAAAAACAGATCGTTCCTATTATACTCGAGCGAGTGAAGTCATATTGATTTTTCGTAGTCAGTAGCATCCGAGAAGTCGCTGTCTAAACATCGAGAGAAAATCGCGCCGACGACCATCGCGAGTGATTCTCGACGTGAAAAATTCAAGTTTCAACATTTTCAAGTGATTGTGTGTGTGTGTGTGTGTATGAGAAATTTGATCACGATGCCCAAGGCCGATAAAAATTTCGTTGAAAGTTCCCGTGACGCATGCACAGTTGAGCAACGCGTGGAAATGATCGATAACGAACAACGATTGAACAAATTGAAGTATCTACGTGGAAAAGTCAATTGGGAGATTCGAGAGGAAAGAAAATTATTTCTCTATCAAATTTATAAATTGATTCACGATTGGGAGGACCGATTTCCCAATATTCGAGAAATTTTGTCGACGAACGAAATCAAGTGTCTTCTCTCGGAATTTATGAACTATTACCCTCACGAACAAGCGAGCAATTATCCAAGAGAACGATTTATCGAGATCGTGATTCAGAGCGGCTACAAAGACGAGCCCGAACTCGACGAAGCAGGAAGGCCTGTGTTGCTTTGCGACACGCCACTGCTCCAGGTGGCTAGAAGTAAATACGATATCTTCGTGCCTTTGTTATTTGAAATTTTCGATCGTTTCAATTACCGCCAGGAATCCGGTTTCTCGCATTTCCACGTGGCCTGCTGCTACGGATTGCACGACGTGGTCGAGAAATTTCTCCAAGCCGGCCAAGATCCCAACCTCCTCGTGGACGGAAGATATCAATACCGATCGTTTACGTGCGAACCAGGTCTTCGGCCGCTGCACATGGTTCTAGAGCACGTAGACAGAAAAAAAGAAATGATGGAGCTGCTGCTGAGAGCTGGCGCTGATCCGAATTGCTCATCTGGTTGGAGTGACGCACCTCTGCATTTAATTTGCAAGATGGACGACGTTGAGTTATTGGATACGTTCTTCAAAGTGAACGACGAAATGGGAAACGAGGTGGAGGTCGACCCCGTGAGCGGTGATGGATTAACACCGCTTCAAATGGCGATTTACTCATTCTACGTGGACATGGTCGCATATTTACTAAAGAATCGTAACGCCGATCCGTCAAAAATCAAGCTCCTCTATCAGGAGGGTGAATTGGACGGCGATAAATTTTATTTGAAAACGGTGTCCAGCAGTCTCGCTATTCTCGATTTGTTGGAAGAATACGGAGCCGACGTAAATGAATCAGTCGTCGAGGAGTTCAAGGACGATAACGTTCGCCGATTGTTAAAAAAGATGGCCGCCCTCGACGAAAATTGGTACGTGCGCGAGGATCTCAGGAGAGAGGCGGAACAAATGATGGTGAAGCCGGGCCTCTCGCTCTATCGTCTGCTGCAATTACCGTACCGCGAGGCGGAAGAGCAGCTCACTTACATAGAATTCTGGGAATTCGCGCGCTCGGACAAATTGAATCAGCTGCCACCACAGTATCGGGAAAATTGTGCCCTGCATCTGATCAAGACGATGACTCGTGGATACTTGGAACGGTGGGATCTGGATTTGACCCCACCCACGACGATATTATATGTATTCCCACCACCCTACGTACCACCCCACCCATGATGATATTATGTGTAAACCTTTGATAAAACAATACAATATTTCGAGAAAAACTAGTGCGCTGCTTATTTAATCAAACTAAATATTATCCTTCAAAATTGTAAAATAACAAATTCCTACATCACTTTTTGATTACATGTAGCATACGTGCATCAAATGAGATTTTAGTTTCAAAATTTACAAATGTAGATCCATCACAGAGCTTCCTCGGCGAAGAAGCAATTAAAGCCCATTAATATTTCATCGTGAAAGTAAGTGGACGGAAGAGGGATAATTAATTGACGAATGATTACTGTTAAAACTTCGATCTATAAAGTAAAGTAAATGATTAATCGATTGATTCAAACAATTAACAATACAAGGTATTAAAAATGTTTTCTTCTGTGTTAACTCCGACCAAGAACTTTGACTTTTGTCGAGAAGCTTCGGTCTCGAAGAAGACACACAATGAATGAGCAATTTGAGAATTTTTCGTTTAGATAATTGTGAGCTATAGGGTGATTGTGCCTATTACTGGCCACCGTCCAAACCACCTGCATTAATCCTCAATAATTTATATTCAAAAGTTTTTTATTCAATTTAAAAATCGACCAGCGCCTAATAGTGCGCATTGCAGAACACGATTGTTTGAACAAATTTTATTGCAAATCAATGAGTAATCATGATTTTAAATAATAGATAGATAAATATTATCCTTCCACAATATTAATGAAAAAAATTAACATTAAAATATCAATTTATTAATGTAATATCGATTTGAAATTGAACTCCTCAATTGAGCTATTTTTTACAAAAAAAATTGCCGATAACGCCCGTAGAAAAATACTTGTAACTTTTTACGTACGTGATAATTTGGTTTGGAAATATCATTTTTACTCTCTTGGTATATCTATTTAATTAATACGTCAGTATTAGTTTCAGTATTGCTAGAACAAAATGGATTTTTGTTGTCGCAACCTATAAAATATTTGTCGTAACAAATACATCTTAGTGGCGAGAACAAAAACCAATTTTATCGTTGCAACTAATACAGCAGGTTGTTTGGATTATTGGAAAGTACCTTTATAGATTTTTCAGAATTTTTAATTACTTCACGGCTTCAGAATAAATATAAATATAAAATTACCCCTCATACCCAACGCCGATAAAGATGTTTCACATAAAAAAAAAGAATACAATGAATGAATATAATGATTCAATATGTATAACTTCATGAAAATGAAAATTAAGATTCAGAGAAAACCACGCCCAGAAAAAATGTTGTGCACGACAATTTCGTCGCCGCATTTAAATTTCCTGACGCTAGATGTCTATCAAGCGATACATCGAGGTTCCCGCAAGTGGCTAGAAATTTCTCTCGATTATTATATAAGATCATACTTGCATCAGTTGTCAGTCTCCAATTTTATACACCACACTCAGATGCTGCTGTCAAAAACAAAAAAAAATCCGTTGAAAAAGAAATTCCAACCGTGTGTTAATCATGCGATATATTCGAGAGCAGTTATCTAAATTACTGATAAGAGGTGGTGGGATAAAGTTGGAGACATTTTGTAATTCGTCACGAGCATATATTCAAGGAGAAAACTCTCATAGGGTAAACACTACAGTGAATGGCCGAATTGTTTTTTTTTTCAATGTTTAAATATGTAGGAAAACTTAATGATGGCAATTAAACAAAAACTAAATGGATCATCACGTAGGTAAATGAATGTTAGATTAAAAACATACGCACTACCCTTCGTTTAGATAATCAGATAGGCATTGACAGCACATATACTTACGTATTGTTTGATACGTACAAGCAAGAGAGAGAAATATATCTCAACGAAGTCAATCCCAGCGGGCACTTATACTATCATAATATCGATAAAGATGTTTCACATCAATAGACGTTTATAGCGTAGGTGGGGGGGGGGGGGGGGGGGNGGGGGGGGGGGGGGGGGGGGGGGGGGGCAGGAGGTGAGAGGGGATCTGAAATTTTGGTTTTGGAACCTTTTTACCATGTACTGAGGCCTCCCTCGTTATACGCGGGGGTAATAAGACCTTGCTCTTATGGGAAAGAGGGGGTTACCTTCCTCGACCTTCGAGGAAGAACTGTTAGTATGTACATTTTACCTATAAATAAACGTATTTGTTAAGTAATTTATCTATTAATATATGTTTATTTCAAAATATCTTTAGGTCCACGCGCGCCGCCCCGCGCTATTCATCTCGATATCTTTAATACTTGTAATCATTTCTCCATCCTGGAAAACATGGTTTTTGATAGATTTTTGCCTCCTCTTTCGATTGGTGCAGTTTTAATTGAAATCGGAGGATACATTTTTTGGATAAATCGACTTAAACATTCAAGTCAATATCTAACCTCAAAATCAATTTTTAAGAATTTTTTGAGTTACACCACTAGAAAGAAGAGGAAAAAAATCTATCGATCCATGGGTTTGGATTTTTTTTCTGACTCTTGGTAAACGTTTCCGAGCGAGCTAAACATACGGCACTTTCGGCCAAAAGTGCCGTAATCGCGCGGGGTGGCCGACTTATGCTGGACGCGCTCATATGCAGTACTTCAAATCTATAGAGTTTATTCTATATAATTTAAATCTATTACCGTCAAACGTATATTCGAATTTAGAATGAAGTGATTTTAACGTTTTATTGCTATTACAAAGCGATCGGTGTCAAAAGTGTTGTTTCGATCTAATGTTCATTTATTATGCATTCAAAAGTCTAAAATATAATTTTAATCGAGTTCCAAGTTCAGGGTCTTTGAGGGCCTATTGAGATGGTCGAAAAATGCGAATGATTCGTATTTTTTTGGCTTTGATTATATTTTAAAAATATCACCAGCATTTTTTTGCCACGTGTATGTACTCATTCGAAATGTTACTTTTTTTTCTATCAAAAGGTATTTTTAAAAAAATTTTCAAAAGTCGTGCACAAATTCTGTAAATGAAAAGAAACATTGTCAAGGGTCCGAAATATAGCGCATTCACCCCATATCAATGAAAAAATTCGACATTTTTTTTTTTATAATTTATTTACTTTGAATAACATGAAAAGTATACAAATTGAAATGAAAAAAATACTACAATAATGATTATTGCTTATTTGATTGTTGACCTACAGCCGCCAAGTAAATATTGTATAAATCTTGGTTCGTAAGCTGCTTCAAGATCAGATCACTGCACTCGAGCGGAAGTCGGTAATGTATCAGATCCATGAAATAATCCAGGGCCCACTGCCGGAAAAACCCTCTCGACGCCATCTCGCACAGATGCTCGTTGCAAGCATTTCTATTCCCTTCGGAAAAACCCTTCCAAATTTGAGATTTATCCAGCTTCAAGTAGTCCGCGTACGTAAAAATTTTCGCCACCTTTTCGGCCGGTAACTGGATCAGTTCGTACAGCGACAGGCTCGGATTGATCATCAGCTCTTTTGCTTTGCTCGCGAACTCCTCGTCGTTGAGACAAAATTTTTCGAGGTGCCCCGATTTCTCGAACAATGCGTGCTTATCGAACAATTTCATGACCAACAGCGCCTCGCTTTTGTCCAACTCGTATCCCCTTTTCTCGAGGCTATGGACGACGGCCGGGGCGTGAATTGCCAGCCTCAATTTAAAGAAATTAGTCAGATGAGTTTGTCGACAAAAATAACTCTTGCTCGGGAAAACGAAGTTGGATAGATCGGCACCACGATCCAAGAGGAGATCGACTAAATTCGGGTTGAAATGACTCACTGCCAATTGCAGCGGTGTCCGGCCGTTGTCGTTCAGGGCGTCGATCCACACCGACTGATTCAATTCGTCGTTCACCTTGAAGAACATCTTCATCAAGACATCGTCGCTTCTCTCGCAAATCAGGTGCAGAGCAGTCGATTGCTTCGCATCGACCATATTAGGATCGGCGCCTTTTCTCAGCAGCAGCTTGGCCGTCGCCGCGTTGCCGCTAGCTAGAGCCAAGTGCAACGGTGTGTTGCCCGAATTGTTTAGAGCATCGACCTCCAGCTTCCGATGTTTGTCGTCGCTTATACTGAAGACCATCTCCAAGAAGCTAGAAGGGTAGTGAGGACTGATAATGTGCAGACAAGTGCAACCTTTCGCATCGGCCAAATTTGGATCAGCTCCGCTATTAAGTAGCAATGTGGCTATGTCCTTATTGTAATCATGTTGATGAGCTAGAGCCAAGTGAAGCGGCGTATCGCCGGTTTCCGTCACGGGACAATTGACATCCACCTGGCCGAGCTCGAGGAATTGCTCGACGTCTCTTTGGCGGCCGTACTGACAGGCTACATGGAAATGCGACAATCCGAACTCGTCGACGTAGTTGGCCTCGAAACTGCGATATATTCGGAAAAGGTGATAAACGATTCCTTCGATTTTGCGTCTGGCCGCACGATGCAGCGGCGTGGTGCGCAGCAGCAGCGGCCGCGGCGGCGACGACGATGGCGGCGGCGGCTCGTCCCTGTAGCCCCCTCTGACCAAAAACTCGACGAATTTGTAATGTCGATAGTCCATCGAGTCAGCGTCGCGATCTCGTTTGCTCCAGTGATTTATGAAATCGCAGAGCAGACTCTCGATCTCGTCGGCACTGAAAATGCCCCGGACACTGGGAAATTCGACCATGCGGTCGATCACAGGGTGGAGTCGACGAAGAAATTCGAGCCGTTCCTTCTCGATTTCCAAATTGAAAAATTCTCGCAGCCTCCTCAATGCCCCGGCACTGTAACTGACCAGCATGATTTAACGCACTTTTTTTTTTAATCACTCGTTATATAGCACCGCACCGCACGAACTCGAAGCGTCGACTGTAAAGAAGCACGAAGCGTGTCGAGCCGATACGTATACGAACTTTCACTTTAGCGTATGTAGGGGGACATTTAGAGATCAGTGCGCGCCACGCGTGCTTAATGTAGACTTTGTTTCAATTCACATATGGCCTATGGGTATTCGTGGAAATGAAGAAGCCGATCTACTAGCCAGAACAGCAGCTAGAGACGGTCCCTTGCTCGACAGACCGATACCAGTGACTGACCTGGTCAGTAACTTTAAACAAGTATGTTTAAATGAAAGTAATGATATTTGTATTGAATTAAGTAATTTCAAAGGATCATTTTATTTTGAACACTTTTATAAAAAAGAGAATAAGACATGGTTTGCTGGTCTCGGCCAGTCGAGGAAGACTATTGTTTGTATTAATAGATTAAGGAGTAATCACTCCTCATTAAAATCTAGTCTTTTGCGCAAAAATATCGATCAGGATTCAAACTGCGAATGCGGTAAAGATTATGATACTGTCGAACATATATTTTGGTATTGTGAGTTACACAAGGAACAAAGAAAATCACTGTTATATAATTTAAAAATCGCGGGCTCGCGCCGTCCACATCATTTAATTAGCTTATTAGCCTCTGAGAATAGAGATGTAATTTTTAGTATAGGTAAGTTTTTATACGATATAAAATGTAAAGTCTGATTGTATTAAAACAACTCACTTTATAAGTGGCTATGTACATTTATTTAACGCCATTAAAACTATCAATCAATCAACTTGATCGTTTCTATTATTCTTGACGAGTAGGCTACACCACGCGGCAATTTTCAATTTACCCAGGAAAGCCTCTAAATAATCGAAGAAAAGATAAGTAAAAGGTGAATCTCGTGAAATTTTGATATTGGCATGATGATCTCGCATTGAAGTACGAGAAAATTGGTGTAACGAAACGAAATAATCTAATTAATATAAGAGCCATTGCGATTATAGATCGAATTGAACCCTCTTAGAGCCAACTTCATGTGAGTACAAGAAATATTTTAGTGTCATCTATATACGCCCTCTGTCTGTAGTTAATAATATCTTTCATATATTAAATTACATACTCATAAGAGTTCCATGCGCGCGTAGCGCGCACATATTAAAGTCTAGTTTCTGTCAAAATTATACGTATGAATTTATTACGAAAAACACCCATAACAGAATATAAATATCACTTTTAGCAATTATTTGGCACATCTCTCAATCTTTTTTTCTTCATTTGTACAAACGTGTATATAAATAAATAATTACGATAAATTATATATAAAAAAATATATAATAATGAAAATTATGCAATCGAGTATTACAGTTTCTCTTGATTCACACGCGCGCAGTGAATGGCACACAATTAGAATCTACCGATTCACCGGTACTTTCTGGCGCGCAGCTTGAAGAACAGCGCCGCGAAGGCCACGCAGTCCAGCAGAAAGTACAGGGCGACCAGGAACGTCACCGAGACCAGATAATTCGAGTTCTTCATGTCGACGATCTCGAGCAGGGTCTGCGGCGCACGGAAGTGACAGTACTCCTTGGAGCACGGCATCTTCGGCCTGTTGGATCTGTAATCGACGAAAAAAAGACGATCGATGATAATTTAAAAAAAAAAGAAAGAAAAAGTTTTGAAGAACGTTCACTCACCCGTAGACGGCCACGACGACGCCCTCGAAGCCGTACTTGATGAAGGACACGTGAAACAGCCAGTGCAAAAATTGCGGCGCGTCCTTGAGATAGACGAAGAAGCCGCCGAACACGAGGAAGGGCATGATGAAGAACGGGCCGAATATCACTCCGTTCTGTATGTCGAGCAGGGTGCCGACGATCAGGCCGATCATCTGCGAGACCAGGCCCACGAGCACGTACATGGCCAGGAACAGGCCCAGCCGCGTGGCGTACGGCTCCGGGTACTGGCCGCTCATGTGGAACACGACCAGCGTGTAGACGGTGGCGGCGCACACCTGCACCGGCAGATCGGCGAGCTTCTGGGCCAGATAGAAGCTGCGCAGCCTGTACCAGCGATTGAAGTGCTCGCGGGTCAGGATCGGCAGCTCGGCCGGGACTGGGGACAGAAATTTCGTGTCGATCGATTAATTCAACGAATCGATTCGGAAAACGTGATGCTGTACCTTGTTGTTGTTTTTTCAAGTCAGAGAGCTGTCGATCCTTTCAGACCCAAGCCCAATGGTTTTGGAAAGACAACATTCGTAATGGAAATTAACAATTAATTGGCGGTTCGCAAGGCGATGCCTAATGAAAGACCCTTTTTTATAGTGACGCCTAACTGAGACGGAATATTGCAACAATGATTACTCCACTCAATTTTAATTTTTAGTTATTCAATAAACACGGAGCGATAAATTTGACCTCGGACATATAAAAAATATGGAAATTTCAAGATAGTTTTAAGTTTCAAATATGAAAAGTGGATAAAAGTGTGCCGAAAATGTTTCAAAGATTTTATATAAAATTTATAGAATTTTTAACATGTTTTATCCGATGAGAAATTTTAGCTTGTTGAGTATATAAAAAGATTTATAACATAGGCAATTGGATCGAGACTGTAAGGAAGCAGTGAAATTGAAACTATAAAATTGTACGTAAAATTACGAAAACTCATATGTGTTTAAATCCGATCTTTGATTTAATCACCGACGGAAATCTAATTATTATAAACTTTTAATAACTTTCATACACTTTTATAAACTTGAGTAAAATATCAGATTTTGGAAAAAAATGCATAAAAGTTTATAGGAGGTTTTAAATTGCTTTTTAAATTTCAAAAAAAATTTTAGTCAGATGAAACTTTTATGAAATCTTCGAAATACTTTTGTACACTCGTACTCAGTTTTTAATTTAAACTCAAAATTACCTGAAATTTTTGGACAAAAATTGACAATTCTGAGAAAAAAAAATTATAAACTTTTTAACATTTTTTTGAACTGAAATACAAAGTCAAATCTGAGAGACTAAAAATTTCCTTAGATGAAGTTTATGTAAGCGTATGACAATGTTCAAAAGTTTACAATACTTCACATTTTTACAACAGTAACACATGCTCCAGAAGACAGATTACTCACAGGTGACGAGGGTCGCGCTGAACGCGCTGTACATCACGAACATCAGGCTGAAGAACAGCAGGGCGAAATTGTCCAGGGCGTGCGCCGCGTCCTGGCCGATTCGAAAGAATATCACGCTGACGAGCAGTGCGACGCACAGGTGCATCGTTAATCGCGTGAAGGTCAGCACTCGATCGCGCGACAGCCTCAGGGCGTTGCGTTTCAGCAGTATCCAGAGCTGTCGCCAGAAGCCCGCTGCGTAGTAGGCCTTACCGCCGCTGCCGCTCAGCTCGTAGAAGATCGGCGTCGACGGCAGCGGCAGCCTTGGCGCCAGCTCGTAGTCCAGTTTTTGCGCCTTGGGATGTGCCGGAATCATCGGAGCCGGTGGCGGTGGAGATTTACTGGAGCCCGCCACCGGTGTCGGTGCGAGCTCGTCCTCGCGCAGGACGCGCCATCGCTCGCACAGGCCGTTCTCCGAGGCGGCGATCATGCCCGGCAAGTGATCGCCGTAATCGCCGTTGATCACCTCCAGCACTGCGGATGGAAAAATTTTCATGAAGATTAGCATTCAAACGCATTCAAAAAGGATAAATTTCATCTCTCATCGACAAATGACACACGTAATCATTGTTTTTTTTTTCAGACAATTCTCTTAAAAAAAGTAATTCAAAATTGTAGTAGTAGCAATTTTTTTCAATTAGATAAAATCTCCTCAATTTTTGTATTCTACGACTTTTCTCGACTATTCGCTCACTCACCGCTTATTTTTTAATAAATTTTGACTTAGGCACCGCCTTTATTGCCGTTTTATTCTTGTTGACATACACCTAAAAAGGCGTAACGATTTTATCATGAGTGTGAAAGACATTGTTTTTCGTCGATTCAGAAGATTATACAGTTTGAAACTATTTAGGGTATAAAGTAAGAATATTAAACAATATTGCATAATTTAACTACATTACTAATGGTCTTATGACCAAATAATGATTATAACCGTTTATAAAAATTAAGATTAATTTTCAACTACTTCAAATGCCACAATATTACTTTCAGCCTTTACCACTAGATGGCGAGTACCCTTATCTGCCCAAACCTACAAGTGGCAAAGTCAATATATTTGTTTTTATGCTACCCCAGCCTAAAGTAACATTCTGGTTTCAAAATTTTTTTGGATTCATATTCTACTTTAATCTCTGCGCACTCACGAAAATCAGCCGGATTGTGATAGGTCGGACAGTCGAGTCGGCAGCTGTCGCGCAAAAAGTTCACCAGCTGGCCGGCCGAGCCGGCGTAGCAGCATCTGCCCTCGGCCAGCACGTACAAATGGTCGATCATGTCGAAGAGCGAGTCCGAGGGCTGGTGCACGGTGCAGACGATGGTGCGTCCGTCCGCCGCCAGCGACTTGAGTATGCCGAAGCACTGACGCGACGTCACGCTGTCCAGGCCCGAGGTCGGCTCGTCGAAGAACATGATGGGCGGATTGCTGATGAGCTCGAGGCCGATGGACAGGCGCTTCTTCTCGCCGCCCGACAGACTCTTGGACAGGGTGCGACGGGCCTGGTCCAAGCCCAGCTCCTTGAGTATGACGTTTATCTGCAAATTGACAGATAAGCGAGTAATTGCGGCGCTACTTATGTATACGACAATTGAGACGAATTGAGGCGTTGCGCACTTTACGGGCCATTATCTCAAACGAGCGAGTTAATTCGAAATAATGATTCGTCGCGCGGACGCACTTACGGCCTGCTCCTTGTCCTGGGCGGTGGTGTCGAGCTTGAGATCGGCGGCGCAGCGCATCGCCTCCTCGACCGTGAGCAGCGGCTGCAGATTGTCGTCCTGCATGATGTAGGCCGAGGAGCGCCTGAACGCCCTGATGTCGCGCTCGCGGCCGTTCACCTCGCACCTGCCCGTCACATTCTCGATCCTGCGAAATACGTGAATGAGATTACGCGCGAATTTTTCGGGGGTCATATATAAAGTTGCGTGTGTGTGCGCCTCACGTGAAACCGGCGAGTATGTCCATGAGGGTGGACTTGCCGGCGCCCGACGGCCCGACGATGGCGATCAGCTCGCCCGGCCGAAAGTCGCCGCTTATCTGCGACAGCAGAGCTTTCCTATCTGCACGGACACAAGAAGTGTAAAAAAGTGATCGTGAAATTAATAAATAATTTATGTACACGTGACACCTATATGTCATTGTATGCCTATCGTGACCATCGACGCGTGCCGCAATGAATACTCGATATCTAGGCATCTCATAACAATATACAATATATAATAATATATACCTTTGGTTAAGAAATTCGACCTGACGGTGTAGCCGAGCTCGCTGAAGGTGAGATTCAGCTGATTCGTCCGGCTGGCCGTGACCGGGGCCAGCATCTCCATCGACGACATCGTGCCGTGTTGCTCCATTTTCGAGCTCTGCCTCGACAAATCCATCTCGCTCTATCTATCTTCTTCTTTTTTTCGACTCTGTATATTATAATTTCGCTTTGTTTTCGACGATATAAATTAATTATTGAAATATATCATTCGGTCGTCTCGAGGAGTATGTAATAATCTGCATCAGTCGAGTCTTATCTCCATACTGTATTCGTGTGTGTGTGCGCGCGCGCGTTATTGATATGCAAGTCAACGAATGCCTCTCTATAGATATTTTCGACGCGATGCCATTTACTGCTCTCGAGCAGATAGATGATTATTACCCAAGTAGAGGCACGCGCGCGCGCTCGTATAAACACCGTTCACTTTTAAAAGCGTCTACTCACATAAGCACACGCTAGAAGAGTCAAGCGTCTGTGCGAAAGACCGCAGGGAACGCCTTGGAAAATGTTCGTTTATACGATATATTTCCCGCACTTTGGCGCGAAAACCACTGCACTATACTGCCTTGACTCCGAAGCTGTTTATGCATATGTATGCATTGTGCGAGCTCTGGTGTAGACGAAGACGACGACGACTACGACGATGACCGACCGACCGACTGATGATGATTAAAACTCGTTTTTCTTACACAATCTTTTTCTCGCTCTTCAACGCTGAGGAGAATAATGTATCTATAACGACACACCGTATGCAACAATGTAAAACTCGAAGAGAGAAAAAAACCTTCACCCACGCGTTGTATTTCCGACTCTTTTATTATTTTCTTTTTCTTATTTATTTTTCGTACTCGTCGTAGACGAGACGCCGACGCACCGGAGCAGCAGAAGAAACAGCAGCAGCGGCGTCGACGAAATGTGTACATATATATACACAACGACGTTCGGCTCCGCCGCTGTGTAGTGTTCAACTGAGCAAGAGTAGTAACATGCGAGTATCTATTAATGCGCGCCTCGTTTGCGAGCAAAAAAAGAGAGAGAGAGAGAGAGTCGGAGCGCAGCTGCACATGTGCTGCATGTGTACATACAAACACACGTACATATATATAGTAAGGTTGCGCGTTTAAAAATGTGCGTGTATACACAACGCACACAGACGCACAAATGCACACATATATAGCTACATATATCGGATATCTTATGTAGCGGTACGAAGAGGGGGCGGCGTAAAATATACTCGTGTGCGTGTATACATATGTACGCGTCTCCGACGAAGGGGGGTCTCTCCGTGTTGCAATGTGCAGAGAGCACAAAAGACGCGACCGTGTACGTATATATGTATAGGTATAAACACAGACGGGCCGAATATTTCGTGCGCGCGCGACAATGTGCATGAGGTCGAGTCGTCGGGTCACCGATATATATATAAATCGGGCCCGATTAATTTATTTTTCGTTGTAAATCATCGATAACGATACGCAATTATAAATAATCGAGTGAAGAGAATAGACGTATATCGGACGGGAGCTTCGATTGGCTTGGAATTGCTGCTTCTGCTTTTTATTTTTGTGCTCTTGACGGCTCTCGATTGAATTTTAAATGCCAGCGTCTCTTCTCGAAGAGAGCTTCAAAAAGTGACATATAATAGACGCATTGCAGAGAGCGAGAAAATTTTTGATAAAAACTCGACCTCGTTGAGTAATGAAATAGCCAAATATAAAAATTTTTATTTCTTCTTGGTTTTCGAAGGGGTGCGCGCTGAAGATTGCTCTCAGCTATAAACGTGCGACTCTCTCCTGCAGGAGAAACGCCGTTGTACCGGCAACCCTTCACACGAGCGCACACCCAGATTGCCGCTCTAAGTCGCAAAACCGACGAAATGTTGAAGAATTTTTCACGATAAAACAGTATTTATTAACTGACATGGATAATTTATACACATTTATAGTCAATTATCACTTCTATAATTATTATTTCCTTTCGTGGTAAATTAAAAAAGAGTTCCTGCGATAATAGCAAATGCTTCGCAACGGCTTTGGAATTAGATTTGATATTCAAAATTAGACGATTAAAATTAATCGTGTTGTGTCTCACGATTATTACAATATAAGCGATGTTTCGATCGTGTAAAGAGTTCGATCAGATTTTAAGCATGTAGACGCCTAATTTACGAATACAGCGTAGTTCATCGCTGTGATGTTTCAGATTTTTGTAGTTAAGATGCCTTAGAAAAGCAAGTCAATTTCAAGCTTCAGTGAATAGGAAATGCTTAACACATTTATTTGATAGATGCTATATGTATTCAAGTTTGTGTTGGTAAATTACTTTGGATTAAAAATTACAAATGATTAAATCTACTTTTCTTATAATTGCCTTATATTTTTTACATTTTTATAATTGTACATGATAAACATCATGCAATTATTAACACTTCTACTGTCCAGATGCTATACGTGTTTAAGTTTGTGCATGCATTCGATGAAGTGAAATTTATACATTTTAAAATTTTTTTGGTGCATCGCAAAACTCTGCTTATAATTGTAATCGATTGAAAAATGATTGTATTAGTTGGACAGTATCTCCATATATACATTCTTACGATAAATGTTAAATAATCTATCTTTTTTCCGTTGCAATGTTTGCAAAGAATCGCATTCGTCATATTGTTTCCGACCGTCATAGATTTGAACGAAAAACATGTGCTCGCCAAACAACGAGAAAGCCGAAGGCGGTAGTGGCACTGTGGTAATCGAGCGCGGCAGCGCAGTACAATGTTCTAGCGCTAGAATGGCGGCTGGTACAAAGTCAAATCCCAGCACTGTGCACACATAATATATACGACCTTAAGTCCAATTGGTCTCCAGATATTCGACAATAGTTTGGTCTATTACGTTACAAGACCCGAATGACTTTCTATGGAAAAAAGTATTTTTTGAAATTTCTCATGTGCCGCTGCTCCATGGGTCGATGCGCACTGAAGTCTCGTCGGTCGCACAGTCGCACTCGATCCTAGTTTTGGTGAAAGCAGCCTAACTGCAACGTCTCTGTGGCGCCAGACACAGATCTACGTTTATCTTTTGTACATGTGTAGTGAGTTCGTGCGTAGCTTTCTCCATCGAACGACACGTATCGGTCGTTTAATTCGGTAACAATTGAAAATCATAAATTCAGTGAAATAGGGGCGACGCCTATACTTTGTTGTGCATTATTGTTATTACTCCGGCGTATGTTATATACACGAGCGACCCCTACTACGCTGGATTCAAGATTTTCTCTCGTTGCCGTAAATAGTTCGAGCTACTTGTGTCTCTTATAGCCTCGGCCATGTGTTTTTTACTTTCTAATTGAAGATACGAAGCTCGTAGTGAATGTGTAGTCAGTACAGGTTACGGCGCGGCAACGTGAACATCAAGAATAAATTGCATCGATTGCTGCAACTGATTAATAGTGAAAAATATTTCATATTACAAGTGATTGTGCATTGTGAGTGTGTAAAATAATGGCCCATAAAGGAGAGCATCAGCTGGTCCAAGTTGACGAACGTGACAATTTAGGTAATACACCATTGCACTTGGCCATCAAATGCGGTGACAAAGATTCGATGAAGTTGTTGCTGAGCAATGGCGCCAATGCGAATTGGCCAAACAAAAATGGATGCACACCCCTGCACTATATTTGCATGCGAAAAAGCGACGATGGCTTGGCGAAAATCTTCTTCGAGTGCAACGACGAAATCAATCAGCCGCTGCAAATCGACGCCCAGAACAAGTTGGACCAAACACCATTGCATTTGGCTCTGCGCGTGCGCAACACGAGTGCGGCCGAATTACTGCTGAGAAGAGGCGCCGACCCGAACTTGGTCGACTGGCTTAAATACACTCCTCTGCACATCATAAGCAAGAAGTGTTACAGTGACGACTTTATCGAGTTATTCTTCAACGTCAGCGAGGAAAAACATCGGTTGCTGCATGTCAATGTTCAAGACTATGAGGGTAACACACCATTGCTCTTGGCCTTGTACCACGGCCAGTTGAAGTTGGTCGAATTGCTGCTGAGACGAGGCAACGATCCAAATATACCCGATAAAAAGGGATTAACACCACTGCACTGGGCTCTTCTTAAACGCGGCAGAGAAGAGATGATTGAATTGCTGCTGAGAAATGGGGCCAATCCGAATATGGTCAATAAGGAAGGATCAACTCCTCTGCATGTCATTTGCACGAATTACTATTACCGCGAATTTTGCGAGATATTCTTCAATATCTGCGAAGAATTAAACCAATTTGTGCAAGTCAACGCCCAGGACAAGTTGGGTAATACACCCCTGCATCTGACTCTGAAACACAACTACATGAAGCAAGCCGAATTGCTGCTAAAAAAGGACGCAGACCCGAATATAGTCAATGCAGAGGGTTCGACTCCTCTGCACATCTTCTGTAATAGACGCCACGACGAAAATAGCTTCATGATAGATCTATTTTTTGCAGTTAACGAGGTACAGGTCGACGCACGGGACAAGGAGGGTCGGACACCTTTGCACTACGCCGTTACGAATCTCTCGTCATATGTGGTCGATGTACTTCTGAATCATGGGGCTAACGCGTCGAGCTTCGTTTTTCCAACTGCGAGTCAGTTCACCGAGAGATTCAACGAACCGACGAAAAATAGTGATTATCTTAAATTGGAAATAAGGTCTGGTGTTCTGTACGTCACCGAACGTCTTGAGGAGAAAGGATATCAACTGGACCGAGACGCTACTATTACGATCATAAAATTGTTCGCCAATAACAAATTATGCGACAAGTGGCAGAATCTCTACTCTGGTGACGAATATTGGCTGGATGAGCCATATTTCACGAGCCAAGCGAAAGAAATAATGATAATATCCGACCTGTCGCTGTACGACCTGATCCAGTTACGACCCGAGGAGGCTGAAAAACGACTCACATACGCGGACTACTTGAAGTTGGCTCGCTCGAATAAATTGAAGACATTCCCCGAAATTTATAGTAGTCTTTGTATCGAACGTGTTTGCGAGAAACTATCGAGAGGACTTTTTCGGCGATGGGCACTGGATTCTTTCTCGAAGCTGATTCACAAGCGACTGCCGATTCTCTGCTGTGACACGATCATGGATCATTTGGAGATCAAAGATTTATGGAGTATTTACTTGGCGAACTGCGATCTAAGCGAAGCGGAGAGAAATGACCCGCTCATGCAAGTTTTCTTTTCATCGTTTGTGACGGTAAACTCCCCGTGTCCACCGTATACAAGGGCGTTCTCAATGCCTGGCCGACTTCGTCGTTATCCGAAGCGCCAGACGAGGGACTGCTCGTGGCCGGCCAGGGTCCGGCTAGCTCGATAGGGACGGGAAGAACGCGAGATACTACCTCAGATGTCGCGGGTACGACTCTCCTCCTGGAGGGGACGTCGACGGGTATGGAGCGGGGACTCCTGCAACTGCAACACTGCACCTAGAAAAACACCTGTAAACGAGAAAATCCGCGAGAGAGAGAGAGAGAGAGAGGAAAGGAAAACGATGGGTCTTGAAATAATAAAACAGTGAATATCAATAAATACAAAGATTCTATTTTATTCAATCTACTCCGAATCACCCATTCATTCGTAGCCGTAGCTATTCCACTCTCATTCACACTGACTACTCGCACGCACGGCGTTCTAATATAGAAAATGAACGCAATATTCGCTCTGAGTGTTGGGGGCGGAGCCTATAGAGTGACGCTGCAGTAACAATTTACATGTAATCTTACGGAAATAAACAGGACGTCCTGTCAAAAACACCAGCGTCAGCCGCTCGAACTAAATTTTTTCCCTATGAAAATTAATAAATTAAATTATCAACTTTTTAATAGGATCAAAATTGCTAAATTTATATTTGAGCAAGTTCTTTCAATTAAAAATGATAAATGTACAAAATTCATTGTGCAACATTTGTTTTTCTTCACATTCATCGTAATTCCCATGTTGTTTGGTCATATTTGACCTAATGCGCTAGTACAAAATTTCGCGTGACGGTATGGTTCAGTCCTCAATAGTCCAAAAAATTTTTTTTCTCCATTTTTAATGAATTCTTAATAAATGTAGATTTAAGGTACCCTTCCCCCCTTAATGGGTTAAGACCGCGACAGTGACGATTCTACAACGATCCAAAATTGTATACGATCATACAGTTTTTAATGTTTAGTTTTTGTGTTTGAAATAATTTATTATATTTTTCACTAACTATTCCAAAGAATATTGTTCTTACAAAAAAGTTAGCTTCGACATTTTTCTAGTTGACTTTGTCAATTAAAAACTGATGTCTGATGAACTGAAACTGATGAATTATAGTCAATTATCACTCCTAATTATTATTTCCCTTTCGTGGCAAATTAAAAAAGAGTTCCTGCGACAATAGTATATGCCTCGCAACGGCTACGGAATAATATTTGATACTCAAAATTAATTGATACTTTTGAATCATTTTGTGTCTATCGCGTAAAGAATTTGTTCAGATTTTAAGCACGTAGACGCCTAATTTACGAATACGTTCAGGTCGTTGTCATAACCTTCTATTTCGGCGACATCCAAATTTGAGACAAAATGTACAATTTTAAGTTTAAAAAAATGTAAAATAAAAGTGAAAAAAAATAAAAATCAGCAAAATCGTGTCGCCATGAAACCGATCACCGGTGAGACCGTATTATCGATAATCCACGGCCCGGCGACCACGAGCCACCTCCGTGAGATGAGTCAGTTTCTGCGGAGGCCGATCGACGTCTGGGCGGACGACGGCCGTCTCATGCTGATCGGCAAGTCTTACGGAGGCGGATCGTCGCGCAGCCTGAGCCTCGCGCACAAAAGGATCGGCCACTTCACGCTCGTCCAGGGCAGCGAGCCCCGCAATCCCGACGCCGGCCGTCATCCCCAGGATTGCGCCTTCGACGCCATCTCCGACCAGACGGGCTATCCGGCCTCGTTGCTCAGACAGGTGGTGGCCCAGCGTATGCTCATCAAGCTCTATCGCGGTCGTCTGCGCGGTGACAAGGACGATCCTCCATTCGACTGCTGCTCCTCGTGCGAGCTGCGCGGCGGCATGACGAACGACGAGGCGTACGCGGGCCGCTACGAGGGCGCCTACGTGATGGACGAGGCGCGCGCCGAGGAGCTGGTCGAGCTCTCCAAGCAGTTCAACGGCCGCACCCACGCCTACGTGTACAAGACGCGCGACCAGTGCAAGTGCAGCGTCTATCCCAATCCGACCGTCGAGATGGTCGACTGCATCAAGGGCTACGTGCGCTCGCGCAACCGCTGGAAGAAGCGCGCCTACTACGCCTGCTTCGAGAGCGACGCCGACCTGTACGAGATACTGACGGTGGCGATGAACTCGGAGCAGGGCCAGAACGCCGACTACTGCCTGCTGGATCCGCGACACGACGTGCGCGACTCCTGGTACGTGACGGAGAAGTGCTGCAAATTCGAGACGGGCTATTACAAGTTCGAGGAGGACGTGATGGCCCTGGACAAGTGGGGCAGGGACTTTTTCCCCCTGACGGGCATGACGAGGAGGTTCAAGATAGCCAGGGTGGAGCTCACGCTGAAGAACCCGATCGAGCGGCAGTTCGGCGAGAGGCCCGTGAGAATATGGGAGAATTATTACCTCCACGAGATGGTGCCGTACAAGCCCGTCGAGTGTCGCAGAATATGAGATACGTTATGATACGTCCTACGTTTGTGTGTGGTGTCCGAATTCAATTCCGCAGTGATTTTGGGAAAATTGTATCCAAGTTGTCCAAATTTTTTACGAGAGTGATTAAAAATAAAATTGGAAAAAAAAATATATTTTTTTAATTTGCAAAAGTTTGTTACGACTATTTGAGTCATTATACCTAGTATCAAGCGCTAGTGATTGTGCAATATGGATCGGCTCTGTTTTGATCACAGATACGCATCAAATCGTGGTACAAATATATTGAAACTTTAAGACAAAGATTGTTTGGATTAAGATCGATTGAATAATTTTTAATCCTATTCAACAATTTTTTATGTAAAAGATAATTACAAATACATATATTTTATAAATATACAAATAATAGTAGTAAATTTTGTCCTATAAATCAAAGATGTCACATTTTTACTACCGAATATAGTACTTTCTCCTATACACAGCTTCTCCGTGTACAATTACCAAAAAGCCATGCGAAATTCTTCAGTCCTCGGGAATCGTTTCCAAGTAGTGTTAAAATCCTAGAGCCACGATCTAGCTGAGAATCGATCGGCATTTCGCGCGACGCTCCCATGGAAGCTCGCGGAGTTCTCGCGAGCGTTCGAACTTCCACAAGTCCCAGTACGCGTCAGCGGCGGCTGCTGCTGCTGCTGCTGCTGCTACTCGGTCGGCCGTCGTCCGCTGCTCTACTTCGAAGAAAGGTCCTATGAGATCGTCGAGCGACACGCCCGGGTTCACCTCTAGCTCCTTCGCTGCTCTCGCGATCTCGTCGCCGCCGACCCCGGAAGAAGTTCCAAGTCGGCCGTCCGTCCAGTCCTCGACCCAGGCGCAAAGCTGACGCAGCCGTTGGCGTCGCTTCTCCACGTCCTGCCAGTCGACGCTCTCGCGTATGGCTCTTCAATTTTTCGCAACGATCGTCGATGGCATTTCTCCACGGACGTTCTACGACGTTTGACGCTGCTGAATCCGTCGCCGTAAGTGGACACGATATCGTTGGGCGCCCAGCTATTGCATCACATAATTACGCGAGTCTCAGTTATAATTTTAAATATTTGCTTTTGTCGCGAAATCACTTGCCGCGCGCGCGCTCGAGATGCTTTGCTCCGTCGGTCGCTCTCTTGAATCGAGCCGCCCGAGTTCTCGAAAAGAGTATAACGTACACAGACTTAAAAGTATCGCGCGACACAAAACGAGATTTTTCGCTTTGGAACTACGCGTCGATCGACGCTCGATATTATTTCTAACAGATTTCCGAATATAGTTTGAAAACACAGCTCTCAAGTATATACTGCACAATGGAATGGCTATGTAACACTGAAGAGCTGATAGCTGTCTGGAGCTTTTTTTTCTTTTGTTTTCATATTTTGACCGCATGAAATTTAGATACAAGGATGCAAGGGTGCGCACATACTCAATTCGTACGAGGCTCCATTTTCGAGCTCTGCCTTTTTGGCTGCATTTTTAATTTTGCTTTGTTTAACGATAAATCAATTGAAATATCATATGTAATATCTGCATCAATCGAGTCTTATCTCCACAATGCGTTTGTATCGATATGCAACGAAGACTTTCTATAGATGTTTTACATGTAATCGTCTACGCTCGTAAAGGAATACCGTATTTATTCAATACTTTCCGCAGTTTGAATAAATATTTGAATAAATAATTAAAAACTGAATGCGCGCCGATTCGATTCTGTTTGATGTGAAAATTAAAAAGTATTTCGTAGGATCGTCAATCTTTTGTATTTCCCGTACAGCGGTACTCGCTATGCGCATTCGTTTGAAATTTTTCGTTAAAAAAAAAGTGGTTATAGAAATCTGTGAAAATTGACTAAATTAATTGTTCATCCACCATTATCACCTTTCATCATATTTATATCTTCGGTTCTTCACCGCAACACTTTAAAAAAAAATTTTTTAAATTGATTTTTCGCCGAAATTTTTACATTTTTTTTAACCATGAATTTTTTACGAAGCTTTAAATCTTAAATTCCTCGGATTCTAAACCCACATAATATTTTACACAATACTATGTAAGGGCGAAGTCTTTTTAAGGCCCAAAATATGGAACAAAATCGCATCGATCGCGAATAAAAAATTTCATCACTTTGGACGTTGATGAGTTTATATATAAGAATTATAATAACAACTTAAGAATTTAATTTTTTTTTTTTTTTTATTTAGAAATTTCTCACGTCTACTTACATCATGAAAAATACTTATCTTAAGCAAAATGTCAGAAAAATTATAAATCGTTAGTAATTTTACATTTTTTTACGTTTTATTCAATTTTACAATTTAACATGATAGTTTTAACTTATTCTTTTTCTTTTTCTTGAACAATTTTTTTCTTGTCCGGGTACACAGTCGTTTACTTCATTGGCAGGGACTGCTTGTTCTAGATCACTTTCTTTTGTCTGCTCACAGAAGCGCAACAAATCTTCGTCGCTCATGTGTCCCGCGATTATTCGACAGACAGTATACGGCAGTTTCAGTTGACAATGATCCGTCATGAACAGATCGGCGGCCAACAGTTCGAATTGTGGCCTCAACAGAACGTTTACTATCTGTTTTTTTATTATATCTTGAGTGAAGTTTTTTAAATCATTTAATGCTGGTAAACGATAATCTTTTATTTTGCTCAAAATGGATGAAGCTTTCCGATAACTCATTTGACAAATTTGCAACAGCGATACGTCTTTATTTACCATAATACCTTTCATTTTTTCAACTTCAGGTGCATTTTGAATGCCTATTCTTTCAGAAATAATATTGGCGATCTTCAACAATGACGAATCAACTGTTGATCTTGATTGTTCCCGTGTTTTGTGTAAGTAAGCCCGTGTTTTGTGTAAGTAATCGGCAGTTTCTCGATCCCGATAAAAATCAAATCCTCCATAAAGAGCCTGGGAAATCGCAGTGCGTCCTAAATCCAATTCACCATTGTTCTTGCGCGAAAACAAAATTTCGTTATCTAAACTTCGATATTCCACAAAAAACTTCAAAATTTTCAGTCGAGTGTCAACTTTCCAGTAAAATCCATTCGACGACAACAACCGAATCATCTCAGCGATGTAAAAAGTAATGGGATATTTTTTCAATTCAGATGATGTATAATCTGTGCTAAACGTAATATTCTCGCTCAAACTGTCCAGACTCGCGCCTCGTTCCAAGAGCGACTTTGTCAGCTCATAGTCCAAAAGCGACACCGCCAATTCCAGAGGTGTGAAACCTCGAGCATTTCGTGCCTCGATATTTGCTCCTTTAGCGACGAGTAAATCGACGATCTCCTCGACTGGTCTTCTCTTTTTCTCTTTCTTGTCGTCGTCTATATTGTCGGTACAGAACTCGGGACAGTCGCACACACGCAGTCGGGCCAACGCATGAAGCGGAGTCGACTCATCTTCTTTGTCCAGATGATTTGGTTCCGCTCCGTTTTCCAACAGGACTTTCACGACATCCGCTCGGCGGTACTTGCAGGCCATGTGCAGCGGCGAGCACGTGTAAGAGTCGACATTGATGTCCGCGCCTTGGCTTACGAATCGTTGCACCGCCTCGACATCGCCACTGAAGCTGGCTCCGTGTAAATAGGTGAATCCATGATCGTCGCAATGATTTTCCTCGGAATCTTTCAGAAAATAATCAATGAGGGACATAGCTTCTGGTTCATCATAGCTATGATATTTTTTCCATTTTATTTCGTTTTGATCAACGTGAAGAGGTCCCCTGAGGGGCAAGGGAGGCTTGTAGTTTTGTAAGTCCGTTTTGTATTTATACAAATAATGAACTGCAGACTTTCCGTCAATAAATATTTTATGAATATTTAACTCCATGTGCTCTTTCATAAATGTAAATACTTTAAAAAGCGCCTCGTCCAATGCCATTTTAAATAATAAAGATAAATTTTCACGTTTTATCATATTTTTTAATTCCTTTATATTTTCAAAATGCATTTGATTTACATCAAAATCGATACGACCACTTCTAAAAAAGCTCAATATGTAGTGTATGTGCTCGTTGAAATAAATATTTGGAAAACAATTTTGTGCCATGATAGATTTGGATTCTTCTACTGCACATGTGGTCGAAACTAATGACGCAACTGCACTTGAAACAGAACGCACTTGTATAGAATGATGCAATCAAATGATTAAAAACTTTTTTGAAAAATAAAATATGATTTTTCAATCGAGTGAAAACTTAATACGTGGTCGAAACTAATGACAAACCTACACTTGAGAAAGATAGACGAAGAGACGAAGATGTGAATAGCTTCACGAACTTATACAGACTGATGCTTGTAGCACATTTCTAATGATCGAGCATTTATTTTAGAAAGTAGATTCGATCGTCAATCTTTTGTATTTAGCGTATACAGGGGATCGATCTACTCGCTACGCGCACTCTGCGTAAACTCATGATTCCAGATATTTTTTTTAAAAGTCTTTCACGATAATGATCACTCGCCATATGGTCACTATACTAAAAGTGTAGAATGTAAAGAAATAACACGTCGACGAAACGTTTTCTTCTCTAGCCAGATATATAGAAATTAGGACGGGCCACGCATGCGTAGATTTAATTTTTGTTTTTGTGTACGCATGTACTACAGATCACTCGTTGCGCCCAGATTTTCAATTAACTTTTCATAATAAATTATCGTACGATACAATTTATCATAATCAAGGAACGGTAATTATCAGATGCAAGCTTTGAATTGGATTGGAATTGCTCGTAAAGACTCTTTTTTTTACTCTCGAACTCTTAGCTTCGATTGGCTTGTAACACGAGCGAGGAGAACAAAGCATGCGTCTGTTTACGCATCGGAGAGACAAAGATGAGTAATAGTTTCTCTCCAAAGCTTCCCAAAAGTATACATAGTTGTAGAAATTTACTTGGTACTTGAATTACATTATATTTATTATGTACACATATTTGATCTACAGTATAAATTAAATTATAATATTTATGCTAATCGTATTATTTAAAGGTCATGAATTTATACAAATTTATAAAAAAAAATGCTACATTTTTTTCCGTATCTCTTCGGGTCCATTTCTTGACTTATAACACAATTTAAATGCCTATTATGATTATGCGACGCGCCTCGAGCGACGACGTCTCGCAATTATAGTCTCATCATGGTACGTTACTACTTTCGTCGTTATTTACACATATGCCACTTGTATATTTAAACGTAACAACTATATAAAATCGCGAGTACAAAAAAATAAAGACAAATGCAAAACTTTTATCTCCGTATGGCCTCCCTCCCGCGCAATAACAATCATAAATTAACAATAATAATAAAAAAAAAACAACAACAACAACAACTTCCGCAAAACCAAAACAATCGATCCGGTATCATCTGTACATGCGCGTCTTCATCTTGACGCGCAGTATCACGTAGGAGAGGGTCTCCAGGGCGGCGTAGAGGCTGCACAGCACGATAAACGAGAACCAGTAGTCCGAGTTGGGCATGTCCAGGGTCTTCATCACCGTCTCGGGATAGATGAAGTAGCAGAAGTCGTCCGTGCAGTCCATCCTCGGGCGGCCGTAGCCGTAGACGGCTACCATCACCGCCTCGTAGCCGTACTTGAGGAACGAGCCGTGAAACAGCCAGTGCAGATACGGCTGGGCGTCGCTCATGTGCACGAAGAAGCCGCTGAATATCATGAACGGCAGGATGAAGAACGGCCCGAATATCACTGCGCTCTACAAGTGTGTGCGTGTGACAAAAAGAAAATGAGAAAGAGTAATGAAAGTGATTGGTGGAGAATAGTTTTATTTTTACTTCGCGTGGATGAAACTCGAATTCAGGTGAAAGCATTTGAATCAATGTGATTTTCTGAGTTAATTATATCCGATTAATTTCAATGTATTGAATTTAATTTTTTTCAATTCTCTACATTTCTCTGATGTAATACGTCAATAATATTGAATTTATACATTTGAATTCAATAATACTAATGAATCTAATAACAACACTATGTAATTCCAAAACTTGGCTTCAATATCAAGCAATATGTAGGTTTATTAATTAAACAATTACCGCGTTTAACTTATATATACAATTTTTTCACTTTGCCACTTGCATATTTACAGATAAAGCGTACTCGCCACCTAGCGGTGGTGGCTGCCTTTAATTTCGATCGAGTTTTCACACACTTTTTTACAATTGACGCAAAAACTTAATTAGAATTAAAACATTGTTTTTTAATCAAAATTATTATTTTTATCATTTTTTTGCATTAAGAATAATGTACGTAACGGCATTCTTATGGATTTTTCGTGCACAGTTTATGTTTTGAATAAAATTTAATATAAGCTACTTCATTATTAATGCCTTTAATTCTTCACTAATGTAGATTATGCTTATACTAAAAAATTACCGTAAATGACCTTCACTAAGGCAGATCGTCTTTTTAATATTATTTCATAAATTACACAATACGTCGATGAAAAGAAATAACTAGACTACGTTTTACATACGGGCCACTGCTTAAAAATGTGAAACGAACCTATTTTTTGTACGTCTGGCCCTTACCTATATCAGCTCTTTTAGAAATTGTAACTTGATAATGAGCCCGATCACTGCATTGTACATACCTTAACGTTGAGACTGGTACCGACGATCTGGCCGATGCACTGGGCCACGAGGCTCACGATCACGTACATCGTCACGAAGAGCGCCAGTCGAAACGCCTCGGGTATCTGGCCGCTGAGATAATAGACCACCAGGGCGTACATCGAGGCGGCCCCGATCTGCACCGGCAGATCGGCCAGACGATTGGCCAGATAAAACGAGCGCAGCTTGTACCAGCGATTGAAGTGCTCGCGGGTCAGGATCGGCAGCTCTTGCGGAACTTGAAGAAAGAGAGAGAGAGAATACGATGATAATAATAACCGATAACGACGATCGACGAAACAAAGTACGACGAGACTCACAGGTGATGAGGGACGTGTTGAAGGCACTGAACATGATGAACATCATGCTGAAGAAGAGCAGCGCGAAATTCTCCTTGGCGTACTTGGCGTCCTGGCCGATCTTGTAGAATATCAGACTGACCAGCAGGGCGACGCACAGGTGCATCGACAGCCTCGTGAAGGTGAGCACCCTGTGTCGCGACAGCGCCAGCGCGTTGCGACGCAGCAGTATGCAGAGCTGGCGCCAGCAGCCCGTCGCGTAGTAGGCCCGGCTGCGCCGATCGCAGTCGTAGAAGATCGGCGTGGCGGGCAGCGGTATTCGCGGGGCCAGATCGAGGCCCGAGGAGACGAGTCGCGCTGCGCAACCGTCTTGTGAAGTCAGCATATTGTGGCCGGTCGTGCGCTTGCGCCAGAAGCCGCTACGGCCGTTCTCCGTGGATCGGACGAGGTTCGGCAGATGATCGCCGTAGTCGCCGTTGATTATTTCCAGTACTGTCGAGAAAATATGAAAAAAGTACGTGTGTTAGAGAGAATGAGTTGACGAGAACTTTCATAGATCTTAGGTAAGATCTTACGTATGATTATCCTCAGTGACATAATTTTTACATAGGACTTGACGTTAGTCTTATCTATTATCTTGATCAAAAAAATAAAAGAAAATTAATTTTTTCCAACTGATAATTCTAGTTTAAGAAACTAGATTAATCCTGTTATAAGACTTAATCTGTTTCTTTTGTACATATTTTAGAATAAGATCCAAGGTAAGATTGCACATAAGTTCTTACTTAAATTCTTACGCAAGAAATAATTTACATATTTAGGGATTTAAGGAGGCTCTACACGTAATACAAAAGATCATCCAACAAGATAAAACTTATATCAATTGATTTGTTAGATCTTCAAAATGAGATTCCAAAAAAAACATGTGGTTGACGATCAAACTTTCGAGATAAACAAGTTTGAAAATGGCGATTTTAACACGGGCTCTTATGGGACGCGGTCTTTTATTGTTTATAACTAATTTAAAAGATCAACCATCATAATAAAAAGTATATTTTCTGTAAGAAAAAGTTCCAAGCTTTCGATTGATATGTTAAAAATTACCCCTTAACGAACTAACTAATGAGTAATTAAACAAAATGTGCGTAAAATCATTGATTTCGAATAGTGCGAGCGGTTACCTGCCTAATGCGAGAAAGAGACAGACAGATGCCTCGCTGTACTATTGTTATGATTGGTGTAGAGCCTGCTTAAGTAAGAACTTATGTAAGAACTTTTACTGTCGATAATAATACGTAAGATTTTCCATAAGATCAAGATTTCATGTAAGTTTAAGATTTAACGACGAACTCACGATAATCGGCCGGATTATGATAATTGGGACACTTCAAGCCGTTGCTCTTCAGAAAAGCCACGAGATTCTGCGTGCCACCCGCGTAGCAGCATCTGCCCTCGGCCAGCACGTACAGATGGTCGATCATGTCGAACAGCGTCGCCGAGGGCTGATGAATCGTGCAGACTATCGTGCGACCGTCGCGCGTCAACGACTTGAGCAGTCCCAGGCACTGTCGCGACGTCACGCTGTCCAGGCCCGAGGTCGGCTCGTCGAAGAACATGATGGGCGGATTGCTGATGAGCTCCAGGGCGATGGCCAGGCGCTTCTTCTGTCCGCCCGACAGTCGGCCCGACTGCGTGGATTTGTGTTCGTACAGGCCCATCTCCGTCAGAATCAAGTCTATCTGAAACGAGACAGTAATACGACGTGCACCGAAATTAGAACACGATCGCGCGATATTATCTCGAAGATCGAGATGATAACGAAAAATATAATTTCGTAGATCAAGTTCACGTTCTACATTTGAAGAGAGAGAGAAAAAAAAATAATAGACAATGACACACGATCGTGATAATTACCGCGCTCTTTCTCTCCGACTGGCTGGAGTCGAGCTTGAGATCGGCGGCCACGTGCATGATCTCCGAGACGGTGAGCAGCGGCTGCAGATTGTCGTCCTGCATGATGTAGGCCGAGGAGCGCCTGAACGCCGACAGGTCGCGGGTCAGGCCGTTCACCTGGATGCTGCCCGTCACGCCCGACGTCCTGAAGTACACAAAATAAGTCATATTTTTGTTGGATAACGACGTTGTTTTGTATCGTAACGAGGCGTCGCGTTCGATCGTTAGCTTCGCGATTTCACCGATAGATGGAGTATGGCAAATCCGCAAGTGGCAAAAAAAAGTTCAGATGGTATTAATACAAATCGCGGAGATCGCTTACTCGCCATACTGATGTACAGCAACAACAGACGCAATGCCGCATAAATCGAAGATTTGGTCTAAAAATAAACGATGATAGTTTGCCATCGCCGTTGCGAAATTTCAAAATTTAATGTTTAATCGTCGCGCACGATCGGCCTCTCTCGATTTCGGATTTTACGTCACACATAATACATATATATTTATTACACACACGCGTGGCGCATAACGATCGATAAATCGAGAACACCCCGCATTCTATTCCCCTAAGCTCTCATTTCCTCGCCTGGTTTTTTTTTGCATGCGTGTGACTCGATTTGATTTTTTGTTTGGCCGATTTATCGATATCGCTATCGAAAATATAATATCATTATATACCGATCCGAATCTCGACGCCTCGCTCGCTCTCTCTTTGTCATAATTAGATAAAACCCCGAGCTCGGGCGCGCGAGCGAGCGACACGACGGCAATTAAGCTACGATTTTTAAAACAATACATTTATATCCGATAACGATCGGTTGGCCGATCTATCGCCGATTATACAATTTTTGCGCGCGCGCCAAAATCTCTCTCGCTCTCTTTCCGCGTGTGCGTGACACGAGCGTCGTGCCGCCGCGCGAACGACATCGACGTGTATCTTTATTAAAAATTTTCTGCATTTCTCGATCGATTAATGTCATATACGACGATACTCACGTGAAACCGGCAAGTATGTCCATCAAGGTGGATTTGCCAGCTCCCGAGGGTCCCATGATGGCGACGAGCTCGCCCGGTCGAAAGTCTCCGCTGATGCTCGATAAGACTTCTTTTCTCCCTGTAAGACACAAGTAAGAGAGAAAAAAAGTAAGTAACGATACGCGACGATAAGATTGCCATTCAATTAATTAAGTCCGATCGCACACACACGCACACGCTTGGACGTGGGTATTGTGTCTTTCCGCGATTGCGGGATGTAATCGCCTCGAGAGTTTCGGGACGTGATTTTACATTCTTTTTTAACTGCGCATTCTTCTCTCTCTCTCTGTGTTTTTTTTACGAATATAATAAACTTTTTTAGTGTGAAATAAAAGAAAAAAAAGTAATAACTGCGCGCCGAGAAAAATGACTCGTTAACTTTTTCCTCGTATTTAACAAAGCTGAGTCAACACTTTTCCGTATATCGATCGGTTTTATATACAATATATTTTGAAATTCCCCAACCGATCGAGAAAGAGAAAAAAAGAGAGAAGAATACCACAGATCACGCTTACAACGTATGATTTTTCAACTGTTCTTCGTAACAATTATCGATATATTATTTGTTGCTAAAAAAGAATAAAAAATACCTCGAAGATGCAAGCGACCGATTACATAGAAAGGCCTGTGTGTACGTATTAAAAGATTTTTCGCCAACGCCGATAAATATATACTTCTGGCATTCTCGCTGTATTGTAACCGAGAGATAATATTTCCATAATACAAATAACAGATTTATATATGCATAAATTGTCATCTTGCAAAATCATTCCTTTTTTCTTTCTCTTTACGAAATAAATAAATAAATAAATGAACGAGCTTTAGAAAAACCGGACGGATCCTCGAATAGTTTTACCGTCCAAGTCGATTATCATTATTACCAACGCGACGAACGACAACAAAAAAAGGCTCATAATTCACGAAATGCGCGCAAAACTCGTTTTATTATTCGCGCGCGTGTGTATACATGTCCGGGATCCTTTGTCGCGTTACCTCTGGACAGCAGGCCGGTTCTGACGCTGTAGCTGAGATCGGCGAAGGTGAGATTCAGCTGATTCGTCCTCGTGGCGGTGAGCGGCGTGTCGATCGTGTCGTACGCGGCGATCGTCGACGTCGTCGTCATCGTCCCGTCGCTGCTGCTGCTGCTGCCGCTCGGTGTTATCGTTAATGATGGTTTGAGTATGCCGTTGGGGATGATTCGTCGTTGCTGCTCGTCGACGAGATCGACGCGGCTGAGATCGAGCCGGGGCAGCTCGGGCCTGTGGCCGTGATGGTAGCCGTTCGTCTTGACACTGGCCATTTCTCTTACTTTTATATCCTACGACTCGATTCTATAGTCTAATAATCCGGTCTATTTACAATTTCGTTTCAATTTTCTCCGCTACGGTAACTGTCTTTATCGTAGATCCGCATCGTTTTTTCTTTCTCAAATATCCCGCGCCGAGTTCGTCTATTCTCGATGTCTGTCTGCTTTGTATACTATACATATAATGCACTCTTCGCTCGACGCTTTGTTTGCTCGCGAGACTTCTGCTGCAACGTTAAACGCACACTATCCGACACTCGCACTCACGCACGACACACTGCTGCACCGAGTCAATACACGGACGCATCGGCGCACGAGTCAGCTGACGTCATATTATGCACACATGCACACACGAGAACTTGCACTTTGTGCGTATACGATACGTACGATGCACTCGCGCGCGACTATGATATACACTATATGGCTCTGCGGTTTTTTTCACAACAACGCTGCGGTTGTAATACGGTCAAGATGAATGAAGACAAAAAAAAAAGAATCTTTGTAAAGTAGTCGAGTGTAAAGAGGAAGGTGGAGCAGTGTAGGTATAAGAGGGAAAAACTCGTCATCGCCTCTCACTCGCGCGCATCGTGGAGATATATCCGTGAGCTTTTTTTCTCTCTCTCTCTCTTTATGTGTATATATCCTTTGTCTATGGCAAGGTTTCGCACTCTTACCGATTTTTATCTGTGTAATTGCCGATCTCTAGGGTTCGATATATGTACAAAACTATTATTTCAACACACGACTTGGCACACTGCTTAACGATTAAAACTTAAATTAATAAATGTTAAAGAAGCACCACCAACAGCACAGACACTGTATCGAAATCGACAGCAGCAGCTCCCGACCGCGTGTGCTTCGTGCGATCGAGCCGCGCGCGAGACACTGTCTTTTGTGATAGCCCAAGTGTTATAATATAAAAAGCTGCGCGGCGCGCGCACAGCACACACCACGCGAACCGATCTTTGCGCTCGCGCGCGTCTGTGTAAGTGTGTGTGAGTGAGTGAGTAAGTTATACGCGTGAACGTCGGAGTCGCAGCAGCAGCAGTAAGAGAGCATGTGTGAGCTGTGGCTGCTACCACACATACACACACACACGCACAGAAAACAGCAATCTAATACGCGAGAGAGAGTGCGAGCTGCGAGCGCCGCGCGGGAAACCCGTTATCTCTGTCTCTTTCCCTCTCGCAACGAGTCGTTGTGTGCATGTGTGTATAAATATATGTGCCTCTCTCTCTCTTTCTCTCTTGCTAAAAACCGAGGCTGGTATCTATATACACGCGCGCTTATAACGTTTTAAACGACTGCTGCTGCTATATACGAGAAAAGCAGCCACGCCGCAGGCCTTTTTAATAGAGCGAGTGTGTGTAATGCAGCATGTGCTCCAGAGAGAGAAAGAGAAGTGGGATGCTATGATTATGCATGTGTATACATATATACAGGTATGTATATATACAGCACTTAACAAATAGGTGCAGTATATACGGCGCAAACTATCGGTTAGAAATCGCTCGGGTGCAATTATTATTATACCATATATATACGTACCGATCTCCGCGCGGCCAATGCCACATATGCGCACATAGAGAGAGAGAGAGAGAGAGATCCAGTGCTGCAGCTGCCGATCGATCGATCGGGTAAATATTTTCGATAGATGTAAGTCAAGTTTGTTTTTAACAGCAAAACAACTTGCGACGTGACGTATATATTATTATAGTATATATAGAAGATCGATGTTACCATAGCTATGAGTAAATGAAAAAAAAAGTTTAACGATTATGACGCTTGACGAACGCGGATGTGAGTGAGTGAGAGAAAAGGCAGAGAGCTTCCTCCTATTTTTATGACATTAAGTGCACAGTATCTGCGTGCGATGAATTTTTGACGCGTGCTCGGACGCGATATCAATGAAAACACATAGATCATCCGGATGAAATTGAAAAATTTTATTTTCATATTTGCAAATCCTTAATTTTGCAGTAATGTAAACATGTGAAAAAATAAATCACATCTAGTTATCCAAAAAAAAAGAAAGAAGTGACGAAAATTCACTTTTATGAAAAAAAAAACAATTTTCCGAGCAATAAAATTCATATACCGATGAAGGTCTTACTTACATTAATGTACATTACAACGATTTTTTTTGTGCATCATGTAAATGGATCGACGTACAGATTTAAAAGGATTTTTTTTAAATCGAAATCAGACATTTCGGAGTATCCAAGGACTTTTTTCAGATTCAACTTTACTGCTTGAACGGCTTGAAATCCGTATATGATTATTCCATCCGGCGCCTATAATTACGATTTTGATTGCTCTTAAGAGAAAAAAAATTAAACATTGTAGCAGTCAGTAATGACTTTAATTACATGCAAATACAGAAGGATGCAAAATTTATTATTCAACGAGTAGCTCAGACTTGATTTTCTTTCCTTTCTTGAAACGGCCATCGATCAGTTCCTCATTTTTTTCGGATAAACGTCGTTTTTGTAGTTCACCGTCACCCCTACCAGACGTTTTGTAAAATCCATCCGGCTCGAAGCACTTCAAGTGGGGGCTTACCGATTTCCTCGATCGTCCACGAAAATGTTATGGAAACCGAAATTTGAAATTGCTAAATTGCTTGATCTCACCGTCCAGGTCGATCTTCAATGGGTACTTGACCCGGTGTAATTTGGAGCCGATGTTTTGAAGGGTGTCAGACAGAAATCCCTCCTCCCTCGGCAAGTTGTAGATGGCTCGTTTGGTTAATTTGACGTAATTTATATATTAGTTTTATTCATTTTTAAGATATTCAACTAATTTTCAATTTTATTCCATATAACTGTGAGATAAATATTACAGCCTATCGCTGAGCAAATATGTAGAATGCGTTTGTGTATGCCAAGCGATATTTGCGGGATGCTGATGATGTCGATGATGCACTCGAATATAGGGATCAATAAACATGTTTTAGAATTTTGTTCAGCAGGGATTGCGCACAACCGATTAATAACCGATCGGGTAAGTCGCGTTTTGTTGTTATTCACTTTCTTTCTCTTCCCCTCCCCCTCGATCAAACTAAACAAACGATTGTCGTTTGAAAAAAAAGTAATAAATGCTCATTATATTGTATGTACTTTAGACGCGCGCGACAATGAAGTAAGCTCCTAATCGCTGCATGATTAATCCAAGAGAGCAGAAAGAAAAAAAAACCACGAGGGAGAGAGAGACAGAGACACGCTTCGGGACTCTTAATCGAGCTAAAATTCACATCGATCAATCGAACCGATAAATCAACACACTTTCAATCGGATATAAGCGTAACACACGATAGGCCGAGCCTCGTGTGTGCGTGTGTGCCTTGTGAGGCGAAAAATAAAAATAGCACATCATGATCTCTAACGCCAAGTCCGTGACTCAATTCGATGTGACAATCTATACTTTGCGCGCGAGCTCGTTGTTAAGAGAGAGAGAGAAAAAAAGAAGTGTGATCTACGCGAACGCGATAATGACACACGTGATAATCGTTTGTGTCCCCGAGCGACAGAGACGGAGAAAGAAATGAGAAAAATACGAGAAAAAAAGAATGCGATTTTCTTGTTAAACTACAAAGAGAAAGAGAGATCGTCGCTGTTTTTTATTCTTTAACCCCGCACAATACACTCATAGGCCGATATCGCGAAAATGTGTATATATATAAGCGCAGCGATGAATAATTATCATTTGTTTTTCGAGCGCGCGTACTGTGTTGCACGATAAATAAGAGAGATAGAAATAAAATACAGCGGAGAAAGAGAAGTGACGAATTTTCGCTCTTAAAAATCATTACTCAGCTCTATTAGCGGCGACGCATCTGCAGACACGCATCCGCACGGGATGTACCGCGACGACGACGATGATGCACGACATCGTTTTTCCGCGCGCAGACGGACAATTTGTGCGGCGGCATTTTTAATATATAAACCGAGGCGCGACGCGTCTGACCGCTTATAACGACGACGTCGACGGGGGTCAGGTGAATTGATTTCATAAATCAGTCAATCAGTGGCCGGTGCGAGCTCGACGACGATAACGCGCGGTACGAAGAATTTAAAAAAAAAAACTGGAACTAATAGTCGTTCGAGTTTTTCGTTGACCGTTATTACACATTACGACGATGCGAGGCTATTTCTAAGGCGCAGGAAAAATCAAGGAAGAAAATCAATCGTTCGCAGTAGTTTTTCGATTTTTAAATAAATGATAATTTATTCAGAAAAGTAGTAACGTTATTAAGTATTCGTTCGCACCGAAGAGAAAAAGAAACCACAGAGAAACTAGAGACAGAAGAAGAGATTCATACGAAATACAACATCAGCGAATAAGAAAATTATTCGTTACAATTTTTCCTTTTTCGTCTACGCGTTCTCTTCTCGTGGCGAACGTTTTTCCTTTTTTTTTCTTCTAAATCATTAATGCGATCAACGCTCGGGGGGGAAAAAGTGATCGTTCTTGTGAATGTTTCTTTTTCTTTCATTCTCGATTGACCAATTTTTCATGTTTCGCTTTTATGTACATTATCTATATATTATTTATAAATATAGGCTTAGAAAAAAAACACTATAGAGAGAACGGAAAAAAGCTACATATATACGTTCGTGCCGCGCGCATTGCGCAAACGTAAGATCACTTAAAAAATATTTTCATTACGAGTGTTTTTCGTACGTTTCATGGGCATTGTAACATTCGTATACGTACATTTGCAGGAACATACATTACAAGTTGGACCAAGTACATAATTTTTCGCTTAACTTATATGATAAAAAAAGCTCTATGTCACGCGCAGCTCGACTTAACTTTTTACAAAGTGAAAAAGAAAGCAACAATTGAGATTCTTTTGGCTGTGATCGTGCATACAAGTACATAATATTATCGTCGCTTCTCGGTATGCACGTTTCCATACTAAAGCTCGTAAGTAATCGTTGAAGATCAATCATTAATTTTATTTATGTATGTATCGTTAACCTATAGGTAAAAAGCTCGTTTGATTTTGCGGATAACTTAAACAAATTAAAAATCCTCAATTATCCCTGTTATAAATTGTCTATATGTACAATGTAAAACTTAAGTCGCTAAACACAAGGTATTTCAACGCAACAATATGCTGATATATATAAAATTGATCGGAAAAAAAGAAGAACATAACGATAACCATCGTGGAATTCATCATTATATGTATAAATTCGATTACTTCTGATAAAAGATAAAAATTCATTAGACATTAGCTATTTATCGTTATAGTAAACCACGACCCGAAATAGTGCGTGATTCTTCGAATGTGTTTATCCCACATTTTTTTTAATATATAAACTTTACACGGTTACCAAATTTTTTCTTTTTTCTTTTTAATTAAACTACAAGACTAGTGCGTTTTTTTTCTTCAAAAAATCATGGTACAAATATGATGCGTAGAAAAAAAGAAGAGAGATCGTTTCTTTCTCTCTCGTTTCTTTTTTCGTTTCATCGGAAGGCAAAAGTCGTCTTTAAAAAAAAATTCACTTATAAAATACTGAGATACTGCCATCGCAATGAAAAATAAACAGGAGACAGTTAAGTCGCGGCTAAAACGTCTCGCGCATGGAGGAGCATTTAACAAAACATTGAAAGACATTTTGCGATTCACGAAACAGCACACAATCATCACAACGACATCATGGAAGAAAATACAATTATTATAAAATACGCTTTATACCCTTAGAAAAAAATTTTTTTTTCTTTAACTAAATTCATCAATTGCAACATCTAGTAGAACAGAAACATGTTTGTTTTTTTAAATATATAATATCATTATATAAAAATATATTTACACAACTATTGTACAAGTTCGTCGTTCCGACGCACACACATTCGCACACGCGCACAAAAAAAATCACGCAAACATTCATCATCAACATCTCTCTCTCTCTCGCCCACTGTCTACCGTCGATTGAGCTTGCACCAGAGGGCCGACGCCGTGAGCAGATGCATGAGCACGCCGATGCCCACGATCAGCACGATGTTGTTGACGACGCTCGTCTGGACGATCTCCATCTCCTTGAGGAACTGGGTCGGCTGCATGTAGTGGCAGTAGCTGATGTCGTCGTCGGCCTGCTCGCAGTAGAGATGGCTGCGATTGTTGCCGTACACGGTGATGAGGAGGCTGTGAAAGCTGGCCCGGAAGTACGAGATATAGAAGAGCCAGCGGAAGGGCTTGGGCGTGTCGCCGTAGCGTATGCAGAAGCCGAACACGGAGAAGAGCACGGCGAGGATGGGACCGGTGAATACGGCGATCTGCAAACGAAAGAAAAACATTTTTGATAAAAAAAAGATTCTTCTTTAGAGAATATGTGAGAAGGAGAATCGCATGAGAAATATGGAGTAACAAATTGCCTGAAAAATTATTTCGAGTCTTCATAGTAGTATTATCCAATGAAAAGTCTATTTTAATAAATAATTACTTGAAAAAACGAATGATAATAGTTTAACATTTTTATATACTTTTATAAATTTGAATAAAAAATGTTCTTTTTAAGTTTATGAAACTTTTCTCAAATTTTTGTAAATTTTTTATAAAATCTTTAAAACACTTTCTCTCAGTTATTAATTTGAAAACAAAACTGGCAGAACCCTTTACAGACACAAATTAATGAAATTTTTTCAACTTTTTAAAACTTTCTTCAAGGTGGCTAGTCAGTAATCATAACAATAGTACAGCTAGGCGTACGTCTGTCTCTTTCTAGCATTAGGCAGGCAATCGCTCGCACTATTCGAAATCAATGATTTTACGCACATTTTCTTTAATTACTCATTAGTTAGTTCGATAACGGGTAATTTTTAACATACCAATCGAAAGGTAGTGACTTGAAGCATAACATACTCGTTTTTGGTTAAGATCTGTCGTCGAATAAAAAAGTTATGGCGTAAAATGTATGAAATTATGGTGGACTCCCATAATAGCCCATGTTAAATTTGCTATTTTCAACGGCTTCATTCTCAAAAATTAGTTCGATAATTCATGCTGAAATTTCAACAGCGCATCAAGGGCACTTTAAATTAAATTTCTGCAAAGTTTCATAAACATCTGTTGTCGACCCATTTATACTGACTAGCCACCTTAAACTGAAATAAATCGTCCGATTTCGAATTCGAAATAGGAACGAGTATTGAGAACAAAAATGCAAAGAACAAAAATGTTTGGAAATTGATAAAATAGTACAAATTAATTCTTTCGCATAGTTTTTCAGATTGTCTATCACCCAGTACTTTTGTTTTCTTTGCCTTTCTCTTACTTCTAAATCGTTTCTAAAATGTTCCCTCCATCCCCTTTTTTTCCCCCTCCTAAAGTGTCTCGGTTGCGTCGAAAAAAGTAAAAAGTATAGTACAGTACCTTGACCGGAGTGGTCGCGCCGATGAAGAATCCCCAGGCCTGGGCGCAGAGGCTCGCCGCGATGCTGACAATGAGAAACATGAGTATGCGCTCGAGCTCCATCGGTTGGCCGGTCAGCCAGTAGCTGACCGCGAGATAGGTGGTGGCGCAGGCCGCCTGGAACGGTACCTCGATCAGCAGCATCGACAGGTAATAGGGGCCGAGCCGGTACCAGCGATTGAAGTGCTCGCGCGACAGTATCTGCATTTCCAGCGGAACTGCGGAGCAGAGAAACAAGAACATTAATTTATTACTTTACCGATCGCGGATAAAATCGGTATCGATACGACGATCGAACGCTGTTGTTAGTACTCACAGGCGAGCGTGACGGCCATCTTGCCCGTGTAGACGATGAGCAGCAGCGAGCCGTAGAGATAGACGTAATTGGCGAGGACGCCGTTGGCGCGATAGCCGCTGCCCATGTAGAGATAGCCGAACAGCATGCCGATCAGCAGATGGCAGAGCAGTCGTACGACGAGGAGGAAGTAGTCGCGCTTGAGGCTGAGCAGCTGACGCTTGTAGAGCAGATAGCACTGGGCGAGAAAGCCTGCAGGCGTGGGCGGCTGCTCGACCACCACCGCCTCCGCCTCCGTCTTCTTCTCGTCTTTATCGTTGTCGGCATCGACGGCGATATTGTCATCACTCTTGCACGACGATGATTTTTTGCCACTGTTATCGTCGTCGTCCGGCAGGGTGGGTTTGGGCGCCGGGGCGATCATTCTGCGCTGCTCCTCGTTGCTCTCCACGGCGCGCATCAGCTTGTCCGTCGTGATGCCGTATTCGCCGATCGCGACCTCCAGCACTAAAAAAAAACACACACACACAAAAAGTCATTACGCGCTCTAGACAAACGATATTATTATTATTAAATAATCGATCGATCGACACTCACGAAAATCGGCCGGATTGTGATAGGGCGGACAGTGCAGTCCCAGCGAGGCGAGATGCGGCACGAGATCGGGTATGGCGCCGCGATAGATGCAGTGGCCGTCGGCCAGCGCGTAGAGCGAGTCGAACATCTCGAACTGCAGGGCCGAGGGCTGATGGATCGTGCAGATGACGGTGCGCTTCTCGGTCTTGGCCAGTCGCTGCAGCAGCGAGATGCATTGGCTGCACGACGCCGAGTCCAGGCCTAATCGATAAAAAAAGAAAAGAAAAAACGATGAGTGATATTGTCGATATGGGTTTGATTCGATTTCATTTTTGTTTTTGTCGATATAACCAACCTGTCGTCGGCTCGTCGAGGAATAATACTGAGGGATTGCTGAGCAGCTCGAGGGCCACGTCGAGGCGCTTCTTCTGTCCGCCCGACAGCTTGCCGCAGAGCGTGTCGTAGCAGTGGCTTAATCCTAAAATCTCCAGCAGCTCCAGCACCTGCGCCACGACGAGTCAATGTCAATATTTCATTATTTTATATATAAGGTCGATTGAATTTTTTTTCATTACTATTAGCAATTGACTTTTTTCAACCGTTAATTATACTACTCGCGCGAATCACGAAGGTCGCGAGAGAGAGACAATGCGCCGAGGCTTGCGAAACGGCACAATTTTACAAATCGAATCGATCGCCTCAAAATCGGCGGATTTTTGCAACTCGCGGGTAAGTAAGTACGTATACGTACCGGTCACGGTGTATAACGGCCTTTCTCATGTATACGCGTGTAATAACGAGTGTAAATATGTCGCAATTATCCACCGAGCACGGGACGATCGGCATTAATAAGCAAAGCGACCTTTATTGACGTCGATCCGTTCTCGATCTTTATTGGCGAGTTTACTCGCCCTTTGTAGCGAAATTACAATCCGTATACACGAGTGTAGAATGTCGAACGGATGCGAGACACGCTCTATACCAGTATACACATCGGATCGTTTATCAAATTATCTCCGCCTTTTGCACAATATCAATCACTCGGACTAATTTTGCCCGCTCGCGATTCCTATCTCCGCGATCGGTTTGTTCTACATCAATTGCGATTACGATATCGTCGTATTATATTATTATTAATACCTGTGCGTGCTTGAAAGCCGAGCTCATGCTGCAGCCGAGCTTGAGATGGGCGGCGATCGTCATGGCCTCGCCGACGCTGAGACGGGTGCGCTGGATCGAGTACTGCTGTATGTAGCACGAGGTGCGGCGAAATCTCTCGCTGTGCGGCGAGCGCAGCTTGCCGTTTATCAGCACCTCGCCGCTCATGCCCTGGACTCTGTTTTTCGTTTGTTTAGAAAAGAGAATAAAAAATTAATAATATGATCCAAGTGTCTGTATCCGCGTATATCGTAATAATAATATTATGCCGCAATTCCGCAGCCGTCGCAGCAGCGTGCGCATATTCTCGAAAGTATCTCTCGCTTCGATCGGATCTCTCTACCTACATTATAAACCCGCGTGGCGAAATGAGGAAAATTGCCTTTCTCGAAGCTTCGTTGCCCTCGCTTACTGCCATACTAGTTCGCTGCGCACTACTGCAGCAGGCGCTGAACTTTCTAATATTTATCTTGTGTGCCGCCGCTGCTGCTTTTAGCTGCGCGACGACGAAGCCGGGATTGAACTTGCATACGTATATACGATCTTGATCGCGACGTAAGAAAAAAATAACAACTGGAGGAAAGATAATTTTTAACGCGTAATAATTTAACGTCGCCGATTTTCTTTAACGATCGTTAGAGCAGCATCAGCAGCAGTGCCGGCAGGAGCCATTGTTATAATATGTAATGTAATGTAACGCGCGCCGCGGCTAATGTACGCCGCGACATACATAAGAGCTTAGATCATTCGGAAACGTACGCGCGTGGCGGCGCGGTATAATAATATAAATAATAGGACGTATATATCCCACGCGCTCCCGCGCACATGTCATTTAAGCTCTCGTTGCTGCGCTCGCGGCGTCCACTTCTTCTTCTTCTTCTTTTCTGTTATTTATACTACTTTTAGCCGCGTTAACAATCTCGTCGTAATACGGCTCTCTTACGTTAATAGCGTGACGTTCGTGAAAAAAAAATGAAAAAAAAAAAAGATCGTCGCGGATTATATTGTTACATCGAAATTAATGATATACATAATCCTCCTTATATTTCGCTTGATTATTCAAAATTTTCACGTACGCACCGTACTACGCGATACTCGAAGCGGGAGGAAAAACGACGATCGGCTCGTTGCGGTAGCGAAATTCGTAATCGAGAGACGTACGGATTTTTGCCTTTTTTGCGTCCGCACGCCAAACTGCGCGCGGCGCGCCATGACGATTACATTATGTTATATCGAGGAGCCATTGTCGTGGTTTTCCTTTTTTTTTTTTTTTTGCATCGAAGGAGATAACAATCATCGGCGCGCGCGCGTCTTTGCATAATGTTAATCCGTTCTCGGCTATTGAATTTGAATTTTAATCCTTTCGAGGGAGAGAGAGACGACTAATATAATGCTTCGATTATGATGAAAAAAAAAATATTAGAAAATCCAGCCGTGTACGTAGCGGATCCGTATAGGCTTGATTCAATTGTTTATCGGCTGCCTATATGAAGGAGAGCCTCTATTATATCACATAGAACGTAAAATTAAAACTCGACTCGTGCGAGAAAGAATGCTCGTGTATGTACGTATGCATGTGTATTGCTCAAGGCCACCGTAAATAGACGTTATATTATACCATTTTATTTATATATACGTGCAATAAACGCGGCGAAAAAGAAACGGAAAGTATAATACGCGAGTCGTGTGGATGTGCAACGATTTCACGAGCGCGAGGATGCGTCGATTCCGTGCGTATTTCAACAATCCCCGTGCGATATCGCAATCTTCGAGTAGCTTAATTGTAGCTCCGATTTATAAATACACGATATATATCAACCCTTCGCCATCTCTTTTACAATATATATAGGATTTTTTTGCGCAATAATCCTCGCAGCTGCTGCGCACGAAAAAAAAGAGAGAGACCGAAAAAAACGAAAGTTTCTCTTCTCTCGAGTGTGACGCGCGCGAGAAATTGGGTCAGTCGCGCGATTCGCGCTCGTGTGCCGCTGCCGCGGCGCAGTCGTGGTGCGTTTCGAGTGCGCCCAATGTCTTGGTACATAAGACGCAATGCGAGCAGCAGCATCGGCTGCGATCGGTACTATATACATGGACGCGCACGGCTGCGTGTCTTCGAGCCGAGAGAGGAGAGCCGAAGGAAGGTCGACCGGATGACCGAAAAATATATACGATATACGAAAAAAGAGAAAAAAACAACGGCGGCATAAACAAAAAAAACACGTGCTCGGTAATAAATATCTTGCGTAATTTAGGCTAGCAACAGCAGCAGCAGCTGAGAGACAGAAAAAAATATATATAACACTTTCTTTAATGAAATTTTTATTGCTTTTTAATGGAGCGTCTAATTGAAGCCTAGCGTCGATTTTTTCTTTATCGTCGTCGCTCGAAGACCATTACGATAACCGATATTGATTCTTCTTCTTTTTCTTCTATATTTTTTTTGAGCGAGGAAGAGAGAGAGAAAAAAAGCTCGTAATAGATATTTCCCGAGCTGCGGATCGTGACATTGGAACGCACACACACACACACACACACACACGCGGAGAGGAAATCATAATCGCGATATTATTATAATGTTAATGTGTACTACTTACGTAAAACCAGCGAGCACGTTGAGGAGAGTCGATTTTCCGGCGCCCGACGGTCCCATGATGGCCGTCAGTTCGCCGGCGCGAAATTCGCCGCTGACTCCGTGAAGGATCTCCTTGGTTTCTGCGGGGAAAGATCAAAACATTGCAGTTTATAAACACTCCGTTTCGCATCGGTACACAAATCGTAAAATATTATTAAACTAGTTCTCGAATGGATATCAGGAAAACTATTAAATCCTATATCGCGTGAGAATCCTATAACTTTATAGTTAAAAGCCATATTCGATACGAGCGTGTAATCGTTAAAAGTATCTAGCGAAACGGGATGTTAAAGTCGACTCGCGTTTTTTTGTATACGTTTTTTCGAAACTTCCTGATTGCCGCCGCGCGAGTTTTAACATCCCCCTTTTTTTCGAGAGCGCCTGGCGGACATAATGTCGTGTTGTGCGTGCACCAGCTCGTACGCACGAGTATATCCCGCGTTGTGCACTCGCGATTTTTATAAAAATGCGGCTTACGTGCGTCAGAGAGCGAGCGAGAGAGAGATAGATCTGGAAAATGAAGTTCACCTTCGCCACCGCGGCGAGAGAATGCACGCGCGAAGAGATGCCGCGCTTAATAATAATTTAAATGCCAGCGTCAAAAAAAAAAGGGATTTTTAAAACGACGTTCGCGCGGAGTTATGATGAACGCGTATGGTACACGCGCGTAAAGAAATATTTATAACGAAGGAAGTGGCCCGAAAGAGAAGCTTGCATTATTGGCATTGTAAAAGATGATGAATTTTAACGTCGAGTTGTAACAAAAAAAGAAAAGAGATTGAAGTAGAGAAAAAATAATCGATTTATTATACCGATTTATTTATAGAAATTGCCGCTCGCGAGAGCGTTATTTGATATTAGTCGAAACGAATTGCTGCTCTGCGCCGTCGAACGCGTGTATAATGAAGAAAGAAAGAGAAAATCAATTGTTCTCGTGGTCCAGCCGCTAGGGGGCGCTCTACAATTCCCGCAAGCGGAAGAGTCGAGCTGGAGAGATATAAACGACAGTATTTTTACCATGATTTGGTACCCTCCCAGTTCTTGGAAATCGCATTAATGAAGTTGACACATTATTACAATATACATCGAGGAAACTTTGTATTTCGTAGCCTTTACTTTTTCCATCGTACTTGCGACACCCTCTCTCGCGCATGGCAACAGTCAGAGATAGAGAAAATACATCTCTCACTTCACCTTATTTTATCGGCCCACGTCTCACGTTTGTTCGCCACTGTTTATCCCAATTTTTGTGGTACATATCATTCGTCCATTATAATGCAGTCATCGTGATGATCATCATCACTGCATAAATATAGCGGCGGAGAATGAGATCTCGGCGAAAGAGAAAGAGAGAGAGAGAGAGAGAGACAGTCCGCATCACGTGTATGTGTAAATATCGATCACGTGTATATTGAACTTTTCATCGGCACGCATATACCCACACACACACACATATCTATGTATAAAACGAGCGGGAAGCTTTCGCGCGCGACGGGGGGAGGTTTTATCGGCTTGCGAGCAGCGGCAGCCGATCTTAGCGCCGATTTCCCCTGCTGCTGCTGCGCAATATACCGTCTCGATGATGATGATGATGATGATGATGATGACATGGCCTTGAAAGAGTATACATGAGCTTTTCCGAAGTACAAAGTGAATATATAAAAGAAAACAAAACCGAAAAGAAGAAGAAAACAATGAAAAAATGCCTCGTTATCTCATACATGTATGCGTACGTACGGCCGCGCGAGATAAAGTTCGTATCAATCTAATAGAGAAGAGAGATCCGCGGGAAATCGCGCGCATTTATATACATACAAATATCGAGCGGTGACTAATTGGTCGCGCATAGAGAAGAGGCGATCGTAATGCGTTCGAGCGAGAACAACAGTTGCAACGAATATTCCCGAACGAGACTCGCAAAAGCACACACACATACATACATACAGAGCATTATTACATGTGTCCGTGTGGTAACAAAGAGATTCTCTGAAATTTATCGTGCAGCCGAGAGAGAGAGAGAAAGAGAGAAACTTATCGACACTCGTATATGCAAGTGTCTCTCTGCAGTTAATATAAACAATGAAGAGCGAGCGAGAAAAAAGCGCAGTTCAACTTTACGTACATCATAACGATGCAGGAAGAGACGAGGCAAGTTATATAGCGAAATGTCACATGCTCGCTCAGAGAGAGAGGAAATTTTCATATATCGATAAATACGTTCGTATTACTTTTTTTTTTTTTTTGCCGATTAACCCTGAACTGCTGTGTGTGCGAGTAGTAGCTCGTGGGAGGTGCAGCAGTAGCAGCCACGCGTACATGTGCCATTGAAAAAGCTCAACGCGATATTAAGAGCCGGTAAATTCAACTGTGTATATATGTGTAATTTTAACAGTGCAATCGTGTGTCGGCTAGTGCCGCTCACGCTGCCAAGCTGGTCGTAAGCGCGAATGAGTAATGAATTCGCAACGTGTAATTATAAATACACACATAAATGCCGCCGCCGCCGCCGACCGCAGCACGTCTATACACAACACATAATAATGCACACTTCTCGCAGGCCACGAATCTGACTCATTAGACGGTGCAGCCGAGAGAACAGATGAGAGAAAAAAAAACACGCGTGTACATGTAAGTATTATACACACACGTCGATAAACATCCGCCGCAGCGACGCAACGCCTTCCTTTTTTTCTTTCTTTCGATAGATCGACGTATCTGTATTTCCGATCGTAACATGTGTGTGTACTGCGTGGCTTCGATGATTTTTGGTTAAATTGCACACACGATCGCGAGGTATTAGAAAAAAAAATAATATCGGTGCGTGTTGCCTGTGTACGACGGCAACTCCAACGACCGGTGGGGATTCCCACGCTCGGATCGGCCGAACAATGAGTGTATACGTTGCATTTGTGTCTTGCGGCCGGTACAGTTACGTGATTCGGATTCAAAGTTTGTGTATATATATGTATAGATGCGCGAGCGGAGCAGAAAACACCGAGCGCGGCGCGCGCGACGATATATAGAGTATATTAATCGATCGGAAAATTGGCACGTATAATGATTTCCGATTAATTTTTTGTCATGCGGTCGCGGCAACTACCGCTACCGTGCTCTACCGCGACGCATCGAACTATGAAAATCGTCGCTTTATTAAACTTGATAAAAAAAAACAGCTCGAGTTTCTTGACCGATCTCGCTCCCCCGTCGTATCGAGTGTAATAATTTTCGATCGCCATCGACAGCTTTTTTGTATGCCCCGCGACAATCTAACTCTCGATTCGCGATGTGTACAAGTACAGCGCACGATGTGCGCACACGCCGCGATCGCGAAACATTGTAATTTTTTTCTGCAACCGATATTGATAAATCACCAACAGCGCTTCATTATTTTTCTACGTGAATAATCGATCGGCGAATTGAGTAATAGCCGAGCGACGACGACGATCGGTGGCGGCGGCGGAGTGCCGCAGCGCGTGAAAAATCGACAAAAATATTGACAGAAAAAAAGAGTGACTTTTGTTGCTTTCCACGCGCGCGCCGCGCGATAAGCTATTATTACAAAATCTCAAAGCCAGAAAGAGGACTTTTTTTTTGGTCGGCCTTTGTATATGGAGTTTCGCGCGTGGCGAAATGTGTGTACTATCGCGATATGCACTCAAAAGCTCGTTAAAAAATTTTTATCGAGCGTTTGAAAATTTCGCCAGATACGAACCTTGAGAAATCTCCTTTGAAATACGCGCGCGAACTCGGTGGAAAAAAATCGACTCTCGCTTTGTGCATTGGCACGTTTTTCATCATCATCATCATCATCATCAGTAGCAGGAGGAGCTGTCATCGACCAGAGCGAGAGATCTCCCCAAAACAAAACGCGACACACACGCGTAATCGACGACGATTAGAATCGAGAGGCTCGTATCGGAATTCTCGCAATTTTGAAAATTCGATAAGCTCGCATAGTTTCTGTTTGGTTATACCCGCGCCGCTTATCAGCCGGCTACACGAGCACATAATTTATTGTAACGTATATAATATAATAATTTCGCACGCGTTTTCGAGCACTCGTCGTGACAGAAAAAAAAGCCGCGCGTAGTACAGTATATTTAATAGAGTGGGCACACGCGCACTCGAACACACACAAAAAAAAAAAAAAAAGAATAACAGAAAACGGAACAAGGCCACGGTCTACATATAATACCGTGGCGACAACGCGCGCGGCGGCTTGACAGAAGAGGCAGCCGAATATAATGCGTACTCGATATAATAATCTCTCGCGAGCTAAATACCTATACCACATACACGCATTTTGTGAAGCACCACCGGTCACGCGTGTACGTATACGTGTGACTATATACGAAATTAATTAACGCGAGCAGTTAATGTATTACAGCATGATTTTCCACGTGCGTGCGCGCATTGAACGATTTTTCGATTAATTATTTTAAGCTATAGAGCGAGCTTTTATTGAAACGTGACATCACGCACACACAGAAGCAGCGGCAGCAGCAGCAGCAGCAGCAGCAGTAGATGCCCGAGACTGGCAGAGATGCATTAATAATCGACATTGACGCAATTGAACTTGATCCGTTTCTTAAAAATGACTCGCGCCGGCGATTAGCTAATCTCTCGTATATAACACATACGCATATAGCACGAGCATGTGTATATGTAATGTAAGTTTAATGGTCAAGCTCGACGATCGCTCGACTCGGTAACGCTTTTTTCCTCCGATATATTATTTTACAATTTTCCACCAACCTGGCCTCAGACTCTTCATGCTCCAGCTCTTCACCCTGTAGCCGATGTTGCGAAACTGCAGATCGATCTCGGGCCTCTTCGGGAACTGGTGCTTCTCCCGCATTATGTAGTAATTGTTGTTGGCCTGCTGCAGCAGCGGCCCGTTGGGATTGTTGATGTTGCCGATCTCGACCGCCACGGCTCCGCCAGCGACTCCTCCGTTGCTGGCTGTGGCTGTGGCCGGCGACATGGCCGTCTCCGTGACCTCGTGCACGTCGTCTTGGCTGCTCGTGCTCGCCGTCTGACAGCACGACAGCGACGAGCAGCAGGACGGATTAGTGGCGCAGCTCGTCGTCGTCATCCTGGTCGCGTTGATATCGTCTGTCGTTGTTTCCGCTTCCTTTATATATCGCTTGTTTTGTCTATCTAGCTCGCCTTATTTTTCTTGTTGTTCTCTTCAGGAAAATGTCACAGTTGTAAAGCTCGTAAACACACACAGTGTAATCCTTCCTTCGAGTTGTTTACACCCCGCGTGCAGAGTCACGTAGGCTGCAAGTAGACTATGTAGAAGACACTAGGCTGTCAGGCTTCACCGGTCAGATCCATGACGACTGCAAAAAAAGAGAGATATAAAAGTAAGATCGACAGATAGTTTGAATTTTTTATCGTTGGTATTATTCCTCTGCTCTAACTTATATATAGGGGTGAAACAAGATGAAAAATCGCGATAAATTACATCATAATGTATACGAACGCGGCGCAAGGTTACGCGTCTGCGAAAAACGTTACATATACTCCACTGCTGCTGCTGCTGCTGCTGCTGCACGTTGTATACGTACATGTGTATTGTATAAGGTCACGCTCAGTCGAGAGAGATTATCGAAGAACATGCCTGTGCTTGTGTGCACATAAGTATGCATGCATGTGTATGTGTAAAAAAGTTTTTGTACGTGTCGAGCTTTTAACTTTGTCAATTATACATTTACGACTCTTTTCCCTGTCCGCGCAAAGAACCTTTCGCAAGTAAGTAAGTTAAGTAAAAAGTAAAAGACAGGCGAAATCCCAAGCTCTGCACGATGGAAGCGCGAGCGAGCGTCGACAGAAACATGTACAAGTATGATTATTATATGTACGGTCATCGCGATCTTGAACTAATTTCTCGTAATCGATAGCAATACGACGACGACGCACGACAAACAAATTATTGTCCGAAAATCCGTACAATCACGTCCTTAATTACTTTTTTTTTGTTTCTGTCGTGCGTCTCTAATTGCGATGAAATAAATATAATAAAAGGAAGATTCGGAACAGCGACAAAACACAACGGAGTATAACTCGACAATTGTTGAAAATCATCGTTATCGAGTATCGTTGCTCCACACGGCCACTAATGTACACTGAATCGCGTACACACTCACACACACACACGTATACGAAGCTTTTCGCGCTCGCTCGTGCAGTTACACAATAATGCGCGCTATAGATATCGCGGGATTCGTACGCATCCTGTTCCCTTGGGGAAAAAAAATAAAACATCATCCAATGATTCGCAGGTGCGCGGTTCGGTTTTCCGACGCGTCTCCTCTTTTTTTTTTCAACGAATTTTCGCACCGTCTTCTCGGTATATCGACGTAAACGACGACGACGATCTCGAGCTTCTCTATATACACATGCACTGCACACACTTACACACACATGCATTCTATGCTACTTTGCACTTCCGCGGAATATCGTGACCGTTTCGCTTAATGTAACGGCCTCCGAGCCGCTTGCTATATGTGCCTCGGGTAATTTTTCGCTTTGCACCGCGTGGGTCACACACACACACACACACACACACACACACGTTACAATACACAGTTATAAATTTTCTGCTTCTGTGTGATTGATTACAGGGCTTTTATTGTTGCGGAGCGCATCTCCTCTACACTAATGAACATTGCACACTATCTATTCTCTATGATACTTCTTCGCTGGCGTTTTATTTTATTTTCTATAATGCCGCGATTTTTTTTCTCGCGCATTTCTACATTATTATCGACAATAGCCAAGAGTGCATAAACTTTATGTGTAAATGTGTGTGTGTCTATGTGTGTGTATTATATATGCATCGACGCACTCGACCGCTACTGCTGCTGCCGCTTCTAGCTTGTGTCAATGAACGCTTTGTTATATATCGTACGTAAGCTCTCGGTGAGAGAGAGAGAAAGAAAGAGAGACCGCAAAACTTTCATTCCCAGAATCAGCAGCAGCAGCAGCAGCAACAGTGCAGTCGAACATCGGTTATTGCAGACGACGATCGCGTACATAATACTAACCTTTATTTATTTATTTATTTTTTATTTTCTTAAAAACAGAGAAGCCAAGAGCGAAAACGAGAGAAATCTCAGCTTCCTCCTCCAGGTGTGTGTAAACGATAATAATATTCACTAAAAAGATTTCTTTTTTTCTTCTTCTTTTTGTTTTTAAACGCGTTTGCGGCAAATTAAAAATCAGCGACACAACGAATTTAAAATAAATAATAATGTACAAAAAATCACGAAGTTCGCGCACTCGGTCTAGGAGTCTCTATACATGTACGAGATATACGTGCGTAATTGTCTGCTGTGCTCGCGGCACGGCGTTCGCGTTTAAACTGCCGATCCGAGGCACGAGGAAGCACTGCAATATAGCTTCGCGCGCGCGCTCGCTCGCGACCGTATACGCGAGAGAGTCCGAGAGTCGAGACTTTGATGCTATATTACTATATACTCCTATATAGCCATAACGCGAACGAGACGGAGAGAGAGAGAGAGTATATAGTGATCCACACATACACACACACACTGTACACGTACGGGTATATTGAGATAGTGTGCGCGAGGCGAGAAAGGCAAAACTTTGATTCTCGATAACGCGTGCGAAGTGAGTATATAGTAGTGTAGTACTCCCTCTTTTTCCCAACGGAGGATCCCTACTATTTTCAGATCTCTGTCTGTCGTGTTTGCGCCGAGCCGAGAGGGTCTCTCTTTCTCTTTTTTATAAATAATAATAATAAATAAATAAATAATAATTATAATGCGAGAAAACGAGCGATGATGCGAGCTGCTCCTCTGCGGTGTGAAATTTCCACCCGGTGAGTGAGAGAGAATCCGAACGATGTATATAATATAAAAACGTGCGTGGATCGGACTCACGTTTCCAAGCTCGAACTCGCTTGGTATATTTTTCGAATAGACGAAAAGCTCTGAACTTTTTTTTTCGTTTCGATTTTTTTCCATTCGAGAGAGCTTTTATTGCGATCTATCAAACTTGTGTGTATGTGTGTGTTTGTAAACAATCTCCGAGCGGCGCGCGGAGCTCGGAATCATGTAACAGATGATGTCGAGAGAAAAATTACCTCCACTTACACACTTACGAACGTGTTTGCGCTAATCGGCATTCAATAACTTTCCAACAAAACAGTCATGTAAACATTGATTAGCCGCGAGCTCGCGGCTATCGTCTTCGGGATTTTCGTTTCGTGCATGCATTATGACATATTATTTACTATGCGCATACACATGTACACACGACTCGAGAGCTCGCGGAAATTTATCTATTTGCAATTCCGTCGAAGTATGCGCGATGCATGTGTTTATTATATTATCGGCGCGCGCGATTCATTGTCGACAAAAAATATTATTTTATAAACGCTCTGGAGTGCGAGAGAAAAAAAAATGAATCATCGTCGTTCTTCGAGAAAAGAGCGCTTTTAAATGTCTCTCTCCCTCTCTCTGTCTTTCTTACTCTCTTCTAAGCTCGATAAAGCCAAGCGAAGGACCTGCGTCATAGAACGACGACGACGACGACGAAAAAGAAGAAAACAAAAAGAAGCCAGAATCGGAGCAAAAAAATATTAACAAATAATGATAATATTCATTGTGGAAAAAAATCCGGCGCGGGTCTCGATCGGGACGCGCGCGTTATATCTCGCGATCGTCGCAGCTCTGGCGCATATAACGCGTTATATATATATGCACACGCGTTCGTTATATGGATATGTACGCAAGTCGGAAGAAGCGACTTTTCAAGTTCGTGCTCTGAATTTTTCTTCCTCTTAAGTCGTCGCGGTGATTTTTTTTTCGATACGGAAAACCTTACACACGTGCGTGTGTGTATGTGTAGTCGCAGTATTTATATCGCGCGATGACAAACGATCATCATCATCCATACGACGACGACTGCTCGAATCTAACTCGACGATATATAATCATGATAATGGTAATGAATAAATCGCACAAGAAGACGCAAGACTACGACTATGTACGGCGCGGCTCGCGTACGTGGGTCGCAATCGTAATTAATGATTTTTGGGAAAATTATCGGTACGTATCTGTGCGCTACGGAAAACGCGTGTGTAAGTAAGGTCAACGTCGATTACGTTAATTTCCGCGCGAGCTTTTTCGTCGCGACGTTATGGAGTCGCAGTGTTGTGTGAGTTTTTTCTTTATTAATTACACGTGCGCTAGGTTCTATTACGAGATACGCGTTAGATCGTGTGCTTCGAATGGAGCTTTCTACATACTTGGTACGTTATATACTTTATCGAAAAACGCCGCAAGAGCGCCGAAGATCGATGTGAATCACGTGTGTTTGGTGCACTATATATTATACCGTGCGATCGGTTGGGTAAAAATGTCACGATTTTTCATTTTATTCTTTGCTCTTTTTTTCTCAACTCAAAGACTCGCTCGTATTACGCGGGGAGAGGCGACTGACTCTGGCTACATACATCGCGTACATAGAAGATTTTCTGGCCTTTGCTCTCGCTCGGCTCTTCGCTCGCGCGCATACACACCGATAAGCAAAATTTTTCATTGCCCTCCACTTCCCTGCTACCGAATAATCATCATCATCATCATCATCATTAACGTCGCTCTGTCGCTGCTACTGCTGCCAAGCAAAGTTGATCTTGACATTTTCATTGCGAAGCAGAGAAGACAGAGAGAGAGAGAGAAATCGCACTCGCGTGGAAAATTCAAGCTCGACGCTCGATGATCGGAACTGCACTGCTGCATGACTGCCCCCACGATGTGTACAATATGTACTTTACACGCGCGAATTTGTGGGTTATATTCATGCTGTGCATGTGCGACGACGACGACGACGACGACGACGACGACGATGATGCATCGCTCGGAATTATCGCTCGCTCGCTCGCGCGCGCGTTACCATTGACCACATTTCGCGGACTTTTTTTTTTTTTTTTTTTAACGTTTCCTGTGCGGCAGATCATCGTACACAACTCTATACACGATGGCATGCGCGAAACTACGCGTGCCGATCTTCACGTGGTACATATACATAGAAGAGAGAGAGAGTGTTGAAAAATAATAGTATAGCGAAAAAAAAACTACATTAGCGAACTTGACACACTTTAACGACTCTATCTAAGATTTCGTTTCAATGTCACCAGACGATCTTCTCTGTCTCTCTGTCTCTGCGTTTCTCGGATCGTGTCGCGAACTCGCCTCGTTCGGTCCATAATTTTCCAGGAGGACCATATCGAGCGGCGCAGCGATCGGTAATGGATGTTCTGTCGCTGCTGCTGCAGGAACACACAAAAAATTTCCAAAAGAGCCACCTCCCCCCACCCACGCCCTACCCGTATATACTATGACGCATTGTATTATTATACACTTATGTGTGTGTGTGTGCATAGGGCCTACGTGACTCGGACAACGTGTCCAGGTCCTTGCACTCGCTTTAACCCATGCGGCGGCGGCGGCGTCGAGGATCGATTCGATAATTAATATAACAATAATTGCGCTATTCTTCGAGCTGTACGTATACGTTGTAATAATAATTATTGCGTGTGCGTGTGACCTAAAAACTCGCGCGTCACGATTCAATATTATAGCCTATTGTGATCGAAAAATATATATGTATGATACCGATCGAAGTCTGTGCTGCGCTCTGCTCTTCTTCGAAGAGGAATTCCTCGATCTTAATTGCGCGGATGTGACAATCTGAAAAATTTTTGTCGCGTGTAGTTTCCTCGCGCGCAGTCGCTCGCGTGCGATCGAATAAAAAAAAAGAAAAGAAAAACGACTCGTGATCGTCGCTGCAGTTGCGAGTATGTATCGAAGTTATCTTAAAGCATTGTATACACGTTGATGCATGTATTACCGAGTACTAAGTATTGACAAAAGCGCATTCCTTCGGACTAATTTCGTCGGATAAAAAAGCGAATGAAGCTATCAAGATGATTTTACGAGCGTCGCCTGTTTACAAACACTATGTGGTACATAGTTGACAGAGGAATGCTCTGCATACCTGAATGATCACCCCAAAACAATCGTTATAATTGCGACGTGCTTCTATCGGTTGATCTCGCGAGAAAAATTGGCTGTTTTTTTTTTTTTTTTTTTTTTGTAAAACTCGCTCGTACGATAAAAAGCATAAGATATATGCAAGTTCTGTTTCTGGGTCTTTTTCTCTCTTCTCTTTTTCTTTTGGTGAGCTCCTTCGCGGCTCGCTGCCACCACCGCGAAGAAAGAGATCAGATCGCCGCCGCGTTATTATAGGTCAACGGCCCAGTATGGACTGCAGCAGAAGCATGTACGAGCCAAGAAAGGGCCTACGTGACTGTTGAAACGTACACACGTTTATGCAGCTGCTGCTGCAGGTCCTGCGCGCGATGACAACGGGGCATTAACCGAATTTTTTCTCTCTCTCTCTCTCTCTCTCTTCTGCCGCGAGATTTTCTCGGATGCAAATGCATTTTTACGGTTTTTAGCGCGTATTTAACGTAATGTACGCGCGCGACAATATTTTCATAACGGTAAATCATCGACCTGTCATTGAGCATTTTTTTTTCTTTTTTTTTTTGCTTCGATATTACGCAAAGTAACGAAGAATCGCGGCACGTGCATGATCGACCGCGTCTGTTTACCCATCCAATCGAGCGAACAAAGAAACCAAAACGAATGAATAAATTTAGACAAAAAAAAACTTAAAATAATTAGTGTACATATGGAGTTTGCGACATTTTTGAAAACGACCTTTATTAGTCCTTTTTTTTGTGCGCGCCTATACGATCTGCGTATATAGTAAAGCACATAAACTCGCAGTACGCATACAATAAACCAATGCCGCGGCGGCGCAACGAGTAAGATAACATCTCAGCGGCTCTTTAATGAGATACTTTTTGAGAATTATATTAACCGCGTTCGAGCTTCGAGCGTGCCGCGCGCGCGAAAATTACCATAATTATTCATCTTTACGATGACCGCTCGAGAGTCTAGCTTTCGTGTGTGTGTGTGTTTGTATATTATAAACGCCGTGACAAAAAAAAAAGAAGAAAAGAAAACAAACAAACAAAACAGAGGCAGAAATAGTTGAAGTGTATTTTCTTTTTATGATCTTGAGATTCGATGAAAATCGTGCTGAAATTAATACTGTTTTAATACGTATACACTACGAAGGTTTTCAGGATTCAATGTATACAATATTGACACTCGAGTGAACGACCGCAAGATGCGACGCGAGAGCAGATATATAGACACACACATGCACAGGCGGAAGAGGCACCGAAACGGTATTATATTATTATTATAACGAGAGAAAAATGAGACACGCGAGGGGGACGAGCACACACACGAGACGCGACGCGCAAAGAGAGAATCACGCTGAATTTTGCATTGCTTCGGTGCGAGTCAATGCTGCTTATGTATATAAGGCTCCGGCCTAGTATATGCAATATATTAAAAATATATTATCGTTGTTGTTAAATTGACCAACTCATCTTCCGATCTTGGGTTTTTTTTATTTTATTATTTCAATCGGTTATTTATAGTCGTTTTTTTCCGCA